TGAAAATCAATATACATGTTCGTCTCAAGATCTTAAACTCTGTGTATCAATCTGCAGTCAATCGGATATTAACTTTGGCCTCTAGAGCGTCCAGAAGATTTTTCAAAGTGATCAAGGGCCATAACTTTGGCAGTAATTATCAGAAATCTTTGAAAATCAATAGGATTCTTCGGCTTGTGACCTCAAACACTGTGTATAAATTTAAAGTCAATCAGATATTAACTTTAGCCTTTAGAGCATCCACAAGGTTTTTTGAAGTGATCAAGGGCCATAAAACACTGTATAAATTTAAAGTCAATCGGATATTAACTTTAGACTCTAGAGCGTCCACAAGATTTTTCAAAGTGATCAAGGGCCATAACTCTGGCAGTAATTATCGTAAATTGCTGAAAATCAATAGGCTTCTTCGTCTCATGACCTTAAACACTGTGTATAAATTTAAAGTCAATCGGATATTAACTTTGGCCTCTAGAGCGTCCACAAGATATTTTGAAGTGATCAAGGGCCATACATGTAACTCTAGCAGTAATTATCGGAAATCGCTGAAAATCAATAGGCTTCTTCGTCTCATGACCTTAAACACTGTGTATAAATTTAAAGTCAATCGGATATTAACTTTTGCCTCTAGAGCGTCCACAAGATTTTTTTAAGTGATCAAGGGCCATAACTCTGGCAGTAATTATCGGAAATCGCTGAATATCAATAGGCTTCTTCGTCTCATGACCTTAAACACTGTGTATAAATTTAAAGTCAATCGGATATTAACTTTGGCCTCTAGAGCGGCCACAAGATTTTTTGAAGTGATCAAGGGCTATAACTCTGGCAGTAATTATCCGAAATCGCTGAAAATCAATAGGCTTCTTCGCCTCATGACCTTAAACACTGTGTATAAATTTAAAGGCAATCGGATATTAACTTTGGCCTCTAGAGCATCCACAAGATTTTTTGAAGTGGTCAAGGGCCATAACTCTGGCAGTAATTATCGGAAATCGCTGAAAATCAATAGACTTCTTCGTCTCATGACCTTAAACACTGTGTATAAATTTAAAGGCAATTGGATATTAACTTTGGCCTCTAGAGCATCCACAAGATTTTTTTAAGTGGTCAAGGGCCATAACTCTGGCAGTAATTATCGGAAATCGCTGAAAATCAATAGACTTCTTCGTCCCATGACCTTAAACACTGTGTTTAAATTTAAAGTCAATCGGATATTAACTTTGGCCTCTAGAGTGTCCACAAGATTTTTTGAAGTGATCAAGGGCCATAACTCTGGCAGTAATTATTGGAAATCGCTGAAAATCAATAGGCTTCTTCGTCTCATGGCCTTAAACACTGTATATAAATTTAAAGTCAATCGGATATTAACTTTAGCCTCTAGAGCTTCCACAAGCAATTATGGAGGCCGGACCGACGGACGGACGGGGGCGACGACAATATACGACCACATTTCAATGTGGGCGTATAAAAATTGATTACACATCTATCGTACATGTAGCAATGATCTCTGTGATAAAATAATATTTGGAACGTGTTTAACCAGTTCTATCACATATGTGATAATGACTGGCACCAATATTGTCCTTTAATAACACCTACATGTACATGTAGTACAAGCTCATTTGTAATTCTCACTAACTGAAGGTTCACATACATGTAGATTGATGAAATGAAAGCTGCTATTGTTCGATGAAAAGCAAATCATAGCCGCCTTACCCCACCCCCAAAAGAATAAATAAATCAATTGTAAATATTGAACTCTTGAGTAGATACATGTACATGTAACAAATTGTATTTTTATTGTACATAACTGGTCAATCAAGACCATTTTACACAATTCCTTGTTTGCAAAAAGGAATAATTTCTCACATACTGACATAAATTAATAATAATCCAATGAAGAAGAATTATAGTAAAAAATAGAAGGTACATTGTAGGACTCCAAAATAGCCGTAGAACAGAGATGCAGGTACATGTACTGAAGATCGTTCCTAAACACAAGGGAACTAATTTATAATCTAGTACATGTACAATGCTGTCGTGTCAATGTACATATTAAGTGCTAGCAAAAACATAATTTCTAAACACGCGCAGGGGGAAACAAAACAAAACATTTCATCATTAAATAAAAGTAAATTTCACAGTCTTGCCAAATATGAGTTGAGTGCACTGGGTACCCTTAGCTGTAGTGTGATCATTTGAGAATTTGTCAGCGGATGCAACATTCAGATAAGTACAAGTAGGTTCAACTTTTAATTATTGGAGTATATCTGAGGCTTTTTTTAGTCGCAAATACTACTGGTACTGTATGTAGTTTCCTTTCAAAATATCATAGAATTGTCATATTTAAAGCTACATGTACATTCCCAGAAAAGTAATAGTACAACTCCGGTAAGCGAGCTAGCGACCCCGGTAACAAATTCAGCACCCCGCCAATTTGTCAAACCTCTGTACAACCCCGGTAAGCGAGCTACCGACCCCGGTAACAAATTCGCAAACCCTCGCCAAGGGGCCAACCCCGGTAACCCCGCCAATTAGTTACCATAGTAACCCCACCGGGGTTTCGGAATAGTATAAATAAAAACGACCAACACATGAGTCCAATCAGTCTGAAGAGTTCAATACGAACGAAACTAGTCACTGACATCCGAGATAACCAGGTCTTCATAGCCACCTTATCTCTTATATTAAACTTTATGAAGAGTTAGACGTACAACATTTTCTGAGATAAAAATCACAGAAAAAGACGCGGGCAGTGGATAATCAGATAATTTAATTAGATTTCGATATTTGTAATAAATAGTCAGTGATAAAGGCAACATCGTCTTTTGTATGTAATGAATACTCCTCCGACATCGAACCTGTTGTGTCACGTGACACAAACATGACCTCTTTTGATCGAGTTTTTATAGAAGGGTATTCCCTGACAATTGCAATGTTTTGAGAAGGAACAGAAGCAAAATTATGATAAATTAATTAGTTTGAATATGTTTTTAGTCCAAATATATCATCAAATCAGCCAGTTTGTACCCGGGAATGTATCTTTAAAGTGACAATCACATTTTTAAAGTCATAAATACATGTATATGGCATCTATACATTTAAGCCTGAAGAGTTTGAATAAGAACGAAACTAGTAGCTGAGAGAAATCTGGGAAGGCTGTTCGCCTATTTACAGATTTTTTACTTTTGAAGTGGCATTTAACCATCAAAACCAATGATGTCATTGCTCGAAACAAATTTGGTCATTTCAGGACTAACATACATTTGTTTGGTTCAATTTTATTTCAATAATTCGCTTGCGCGTAGGGGTCTTTAGCCATGGGAGGAAACCGGAGGACAGGCAGAAAACCCATGAGGCTGGATAGACGACCCTACCCCTTGTTACGTACAAGCGGGGAATCGAAACCACAACACTTGACTCAATGACAAGCAGGGCTGTCGGTAATTTTTCACAGATGATTAGCAGCACTGCTAATCAAAAAGTCCAATTTTGCCAAATTTGATTAGCAAATTTAAAAATTGATAAGCAGTTTTTCGGTTTCAACAAAAAACACCTAAATAACAAGATTCTTTAATTTATAACAAATAATTAGATTTCATTCTTAAGATTTTAGTACCGCTACAGGTAGCTGTGAAAATTTCTGAATGTAGACTTTTGGTTATGTCTGAAGCCAATTCTTGGCAGTGGCTTCCGAAGTCCCAATCATTTTAATTCTTATTTCTTCGATAGAAAACAATTTTGTCTGCTTTTTATCGTGTGTTATACTATTTTTTTTCAATCGGACGCGCACAGTTTTTTTACGAATAATCTTGATTAGCTAGACGCACGCGATACAGTATAAACAATAATATTTTACGGGAATTCTTACTTTGATTTCTCACTTTACAAAATTTTTACACGTATTTATTTTTTATATTTTATTGACAATACGTGGGGGATACACTAACTTGACTTGAAATTTTCAACATATTCTCTTTTCGTTATCCATTTTCTAACCATTATAGCGAGAACTCAGAACTGTCAGCTCTTTATCTAAATCACGTATCTTCAATAAGCAACAGATTATATAGAAAGAATTATGTTTTGACTTTCTTAGAAAATATGAAGTTACTGGAAGTTAGTGTAAGCTTCCAAACTTATTTCTTTAAAATGAGATACCACATTTTCTTATACAGTCCATGTTTTATTTACAGTCAGTAGGCCTATGGACCATATGGTCTGTAATTATAAGGCCCATGGAACTGGTGATTTAAAACGATCAATTGTCACGATTTAACATGCTGTGTATATTGTGTGTACATACTACATAAAAAAAATATTTTGTCTGTGGAGCAATATACCGTAAATATGAATATAGTATGCCCTTGTAAACAGAAATTAATATTATACACCCATTTGAAAGAATTGGCTTAATTTGGTCAAATATTCACAAAAACCTGTATTCTTCTGGCCTAAGCTAGTCTGGACTGGTGAGAAGTATGCTACATTTATAGTACATGAATGATTCTTGTTATTTAAACAGTCTTAATATATAACCTAATGATAATGATATGAACTTTGATTAATAATATTAATAAACCAAAATCGTGTCCCTTTAAATCAAAACAGAAATCAAATCTAGACTGATTGGATAGTCATAGCAGACTAGGCCTTTGCATTATTATAAGATTGAATTCTAAAAATAAGCCCAACGTCAGAGACGGGGATTGTTTCTTTATTCTTCATAAATTATAACCCTTTCCACAGCATTAGGTCAAAAAGAAACCCAGACTAGAAATGAAAACAAAAATAATATCGGGTGGAAAGAAGGAACTGGTAATTGACGTGTGTGCAAACTAATGCGCGTGCGTTCCAATCCTACCAAAGAGGAATGGCGCCGCCTGCATTCATGAAAGTACCTGGCAATGCTTCTCGGGTAGGCTTGGCTGGCAGCCTTATCTTTTATTATGAGCAAGCGTGACCCGATACACATGGAATTAACATAATTTTAGTGGACCTACCGGGTCTGTAATAATTTTCCACATCTTTATCCGTTCCCGTTTCACCGTTTGATTCAGAAGCACTCATAATTTAAGTATCCATAGCACTAGCGTTTTAATATCAAACAATGAATAGACTGAGCATCAAGTTGAATCCGCCATTGTAATAACACAACTTCGGCTACTTCCGTCAATTTCCGTGATATACGGAAGTCACAAATTTTTGTCTGCACCTCTCAGGAAAGTCTCAGATAATACCATCTATGCGGAATATCATACCAATTTTAATTGTTGAATAACAAGCATGACAACAACGTAAATAACTTGGGAATATCTTGGGATAAATTATTAATTTTGGTGCTTTCGGGATGAATCATACTTGTACAAATTAATAGGCTTATCGATTTGTTCTGCATTCGCTCGGAAAATAGTCTCGAATACCAGTCTGTTTTAGCATCTAGCCTTGTACCATAGCATTCTTCGGTTTAACTGAAAGCACCTGAATGCCCGTTGCCGAAGATTTCCGAAATTTGTAAATTGAAATAATATGCCTTTTCCCTTAGGCCAAACTCAATATTTATTAATCATTTTGAAATCTGTTTTCTTACAATAATATCTTTACATTCAGTTTGAGCCGGGATCAAGACAACATGACCCATTAATTAATTTTATTTATTTATTTACTTATTTGTTTTATTATTTATTTATTTATTTATCAATATACAGAAACTGTAACATTTTTACCTTATACATGCTGCTGAAAATTGATAATTATTATTTCATAAATAAGATAAACATTATTGCTTAAAAACGCCCACGCAGAGCAGCACAAAATTACATAACTTACATTATTTAGTCCAATATGCATAAATAAAACTGTACAAAAGTAATATGTATTCAGTGTTTCTCGTTAAATTATTATTTCATTAAAGTTGTCTATATGTAATATATAATTATTGAAATGTGCATTAGACTGCACTGGCGGGGTACGTGTTTTATATATAATTATCATCTGTCATATTTGGAAAGGCATAAAGTAAGACTCATTAGCCTTTCTTTCATTTTGCCCATAACGATATGCACTCAAAAATACCGAGACTGAAATGTGACACATGATTGAACAAGAAGACAAATTCAAAACAAGTGCAGAAGATATTTGGAAAAAATACAACTCATGTTCTCTTTAATCTACATCGATCATTCATTTCTTCCAAGTAAAGGGTGCGAGATGATAACCTATAATCTTTTTTAATTTTGCCTTGGATACGGCACTTCAGTATATTCGTGGATATTTATAATGAAGGGGTAATATTGTACGCTATTTACCCGATCACTTATACATCTATAGGCTAAGCCAAGTGTGTATCTTATATAGACATGGTTGTTTTGATCTTGTACGTCATGGCACTCCCAAAATGGAAGCACCTATCTCGAGCACTAATACAAAAGATAATGAAAATACATCTATCTTCACTACTAAAAGATAAATACTGAAGTTACTAAGTAGAATGAAATCTGGGAGCAACGGTCACCACCAATTAGATTGTTAAAGGAGCTAAGTCGCGAATATTTGGGACCTAGAAATTGACACAAATGTATATAAATTGATTTACATTCAGTCGTTTTTGTTTTTACTGTAATTTCTAATCAGTTAGGTTCGGCGAAATGCGCCAGTATTCTCAATCGAATTTCAATCTCTATCGTCTGGTTATTCCAGTCTACGCCGATATTATTTATTGGGCATGCTCTCCAGATAAGAATATAGCGTCACCGTTTGGCATGACTTGTGGAATATGCCTAGCCTCGTTTTTCGAGTCCCTTATTACAAATATCGCTGAAACGCATTATGGTACACGATTCGTGTACCAATTGTAAAATGTTTATTTTGTCTTAAATATTGTATATCAGAAGGCCATCTTTTCCCGGTAATATCACAACATCAATGTTGATTTAAACCGTCAAATAAATCGTGTTTTCAATGTCGAAGATTTTGGATGATATTGAGTTAGAGACTTGGCTACTTTAAATACAGAATTACAAAAGGAATTGTTAGCCGTGTAAATCCATGCGTGAAAATACGTGTAAATACATCAATAATTCTTCGATGATACTGGACGAAATGAAAATGTCCGAAAATATTCCCGATTTTGGGGTGGGGGTGGGGGCAGAAATGAAATAACCGAAACGATTCCCGTTTAGATGCACCGAAGATAGGTGTCTGTGGGTACCGAATGCTCGCAGCACTGCATTAATGGGTGTTGGGGACTAACCCAGAAAATTTTGAAAATGTCTTCTATTTCAACCCGTAAATACAGCAACTTGAAAGAGAGGGGTCCAATATAGCAAGTGTCGGAATAAGAGATCGACGGGTCCCGAGGAAGCCAAGATGACATCGTATAGCGGGGATCTGGGGTGTCTCTCCCTACGGGGTTGAGGGAGTCCTCCCCAGAGAAAGTTTTTGAAATTTCGACCTGAAATGGTGGTCTGATATTAAACATGCATTATGCAAGAGCAAAATCTGCTTATTACAAGCCTTTCTTTAGGCCTGAAATGTTATCTAAATTATCAATTAGACATTAAGTAACTTATCCAGACCATAATAAACTCTCGATGTTAAGGCTAGCCTTCGATGTTGGCTGGATTAGATTCCTATATGCCGCTAACGGCTATTGATAATTAAATCAATAAAAGCGGATAATCGAGACTATGCTGTTTATATTAATGATTTTAGTAATGATGACCGAGACTATGCAAAAATTTCACGCGCTTCTTTCTCGGCTCATAGTATATCAATTTGACTGAAATTTTCAGCAAATTACCTTTACACTATCTAGTTTTTAACTATTATAGCGAGAACTGTCATCTCTTTATCTTATCTCCCATAATGAATGTGAAAGAAATTAGTGCTAGATACACAAGATTAAATGATACCTGGGTTATAGTGTATCCCGGACAGGAAGTCATTTACATATAGTTCTAAGCAGTTAGTGTCGATCTTAATTAGTAATCTGAATGAAGTTGTTGCCGCTCATATTTCCGAATAGTGCAGAATTTGTTTTGTCGGGAATATACATGTACTCGGAGAACTGATTCATGATTTTTTTTTCAAACGGTTCGCGATTCTTGTTGTTAAGTGAGCTGGTTGTGTGAGATATGGAGGGCCCGACGGAAATTTTGGACAATTAACAACACCGCTACCAGTCAGCCAGAAATAATATTTTGGGTTTCGGGTTTTTGAAACATTTCTGATATCAACTTCCCGCTGCCAACCCACTCAACATGACATCGTTGATATCATTTTTTTTCTTACTAATCCCCCTGGGTCCCCTATACCTGGTAATTTCAAAACTCATCGAAAAAAGGCCACATTGTTCCACAAATTTTGGGAAATGGGTCTTCATTATTGTTTCCTACAAAAAATAAAAAAGAAACGAAATTTTTGTTTCAAAATCGCCGGGCTCCTCCAGGCCATTGCCTCTGTTGCCCTCGCCATGATCCGCCACGCTCGTTCGTTCGTTCGTTCCTGGAGTTTTATATCCACTTCCACCTAGGATGATATCGTAGACAAGGATCCGTCACTGACTATAGATATAGCCTTATTTATATGGTTGTGCAACCGAAACCCCACTCAATGCCCTCCCGAACTATCAACCAATTAATCAAAGAGTTGCTGCATGTTTTATTCACAGGCAGGCCCGCAAAAGGTTTCGCCCCCCCCCCCCCCGTAAAAAAATTGTCGACCGTAAGATATACATTGTCCGTCAATTTCACAGCACCCGTAAGAACACTTTCCGCCCCCCCCCCCCTCGTTGCCCTGAGCTAGTTACGGACATCACAGGACATCAGAACTTTCACTCCCCGAAAGTGTGATGAAACAAATAATGACGATACCCGAAAAATATCGCACATAAATAAGAGTGTCAACTTTAGGTTCTCGTTTATTAAACTGATTATATATGTTTTTAAAAATTGTATCAATTAGCGTATTTAAAAAAATTTTTGATTCCCGAATAACTGATTAAACAATGCGCCGAAAACTCTGGCCAAAAGCAGAGTTGCTCCAGATCAAAAAGTCTTTGTATTTAGGTCATTTTATTTTGCCAAGTATACCCCCCAAAATATCACTTTATACCCATCTGTCCAAAGAAATATGATAACCCGGGTGTTGGGCTCGCATTGGGCTACAAATGAATCTTTGAAGTGCGAGCCCAAGAAGTGAGAGTCCGGGAAACTGTAATTTAGCTATATTCCAGACAACCTACTAAACATTACGTAACCAAATTTGTGGATAAGGTATTGCGATGCATATTCATAATAATAGACGTCATTATAAACGCGGGGGGGGGGGGGTCACGATGGCTAAGTGGGCAAGACGCTGGCTCGCTATAGCCTGGAGGTTAGGTGTTCGATCCCTGCATTGGCCGAGAAAGCTCATTCAGATTTTTCCGGCGTGGTTCCCCCTTGCCAGTGATGCAGGACAGAGGGCCTGACAAGGACAGCTGTCTAGTCGTTTGGATGGGACGATAAACCGAGGTCTCGTGTACACATTGGCGTGCACGTAATAGATCCCTTGACATTTGGAATTCTATATAAGAGTAGACCGTAGTGTCGCTATTCGGGCAAAATTTCCCTCATGGCACACTGTATGGCATATGCCCGTCTTCATTAGCCCAGTTTGGAGCAGAACAGTATAGGACGTTAAATCCCATTTCATTTGATTTCAATTTATAAACGCGGGGACTGTTTGTTTCGGATTCCTTCGCATACAAAGATTCACGATCAACGATCAACGATGTTGGTATCTTGTTGACGATAAGAAATCGTTTCTTCTGATTTCACCCTTCGGATTGTGTCGGCGGCCGATGTCATAACCACAAAGAATTATAAGGTTTCCCACTGTCTAATTCCGATACTTTAATGGAGGGGGGGGGGCAGAGAAAAAAAAAGAATCGATTCAACAAAATTTATACTAATCATCAAATCCCGGCATTTCTTATAGTACTGTAAAAGTCGAATCTAGACCAAGTTTCCCGAATAGTATTCCAAAAATCTATGGAACATAAAACAGTTCTAATGGTGGTTGGAATCGTGTAGTGTACACGGTAATTTTGGACACAAGTCATTGGTAAAATATCATGTGTAATTCTTCTTGCAGACTCTATAATGTCAATTTAACTTCTTTAGAGTTTAAAAGTAGGAAATATTACTTTTAACGAAATTTTCAATTCCAAAACCTAAAATTACAATCTATAACTTACTGTTTGGAATAACGCTGACAAGGAACAGTTCTAGTCGTTCGGATGATATGAAAACCGATATCTCGTGTACCAGTTGGCGTGCACGTAAAATAAAGCTGGACAGTTGGAATACGAAATATCCCCCACAACACGCTGCATAGCGTATGTCGGTCTTCATTAGCTCGGTTGTGCCAAAAACAGCACCATTTCTTTCCATTTTAAAGCATACAATTCCCAATAGGAATGGCGGGCGTTGAAGCAAATATTACCCCCCCCCCCCCCAACACACACACATTTTTTGTTATTTGAAATTCTTTTTTAATATACCTTCACTACAATAAAAACATTTCTCGGGATTAACACTGTTTACGTTTTTATTCTTAGTCATTTATTTGTCATTTGTCTATAAAGTTACGGTGGGTAAGACGCTGGCTCGCTAGCATGGAGGTAGCGTGTTCGAACCCTGCATTGGTTCGAGGTCCCGCGCGTACATTGGCGTGTACGTAAAAGATCCATTGACAGTTGGAATTCGATATAAGAGTAGGCCATAGTGCCGCTACCCATGCAAAAATTCCCCTCATAGCACACTGTATGGCGTATGCCCGTATTCATTAGCTCAGTCGGGGCGGAACAGTAGGACGTTAAACCCCATTTCGTTTTCTATAAAGTTACACATATTCTTTATAATATATTTATCCTTGTTTAAAGGACTCTCGTTAATACTAACAATCTGGATTGTCGGAAATGGTTGGGTTGTTTTTTTGGGTTTAAGGGATTTTATTCACGATTCAAAAACGTCTGGATCATTTGGAAAATTAAAATTTGTTTTATGACAATTGTTTCGCATCGCTCGGCTCTACTGGTCGTTTATAAACGTATACAATGTGCTTTTAATATAGACTAACTTTTCTTGACCTGTTAGGACCCATAAATATGTAATCACCTTGCTACTGATTTATTATATAAAATATCATAGAATCTCAAAAGACACGCCAACATGTGATTTATTATATAAAAACGTAGAAGTATATTTGCGTCAAGATTCAAAGACTGAAGAGGTAATCGAAAATAATTATTTGGTTGGGTATGCTCGAGGTTCTTTCTTTTCTTATATCTCGCAATAAAAGGTCCCACAGATTTTGTCAATTAATTTACTACTGATTTGTCATTCATTATATTATAATATTAAAATGTTATGCATAACCAAGATAAAAAACGTAAAAAAGAATATTTGTAAATCAAGCTTCAGAGAGCTCTGTCCGCTCGGGGTACTTCCTTTTCTTATATCTCCTTGTAGGGACTCGGGAAATATCGAAAATAAGAATAACTGTTTAAATGTAACATGTAACAAATTGAACTTTTTAGTTCACTTGCCGCGGGTTTATTCTGGGATAAATCGTACGAAAAAGGTATAAATCCTTTTTACCCCTCTCTATGCACGCCTGGCCCAATATTATTATAAATAAGTTTTCGATGTCTACGTTGTCTGGATAGTTAATAAATATGACCTTGTACATACATATTTGCCAGGGTAGAGACATGTATAATGATTTATTTGGGAGGAAAGCTATTATTGTATTTTTCAAATTTCTTCTCGAAGAAGCTACAGACATTCTCGTGTACACCTGTGAAATCAAAATTAACCAATATTTGTTGGTCTGGATGACAGAGTCTACTTGGATTCCGTTCCAAACAATATGGCCGCCAAGTGAAAGTAAAATTTCTAATGTTATTAGTTTTATTAGGTTTTAACTGCTCATTTCCACAGACATTAATTGTTCTTCAATTATTTGCCCAGAATGTAACAAGGGAGTTTCAGTAAATGAGATTCTGCACTACGAATTATAGTATAAGTAATGTTAAAACGAATTCACAAAGATTTATTATGTTTGGTTATCGTTTATTTTGACCATCAGACCAGTAGGCTAGTGTAGATCAAATCAGTACCGGTATCAGGTCACATTGACTTGTCGGTGAAGGTAGAGTGTCCCATACAAACAGAAATAAGCTCAGATACAAGCTCAACTTACTTTGGCGAATGTTTAATCTCAAATTATAATGTTAACGAGTCTGAATTACAGTAACATTTTAGATGGCAAGTTGTGAAAATAACTTTAGAAAATAAACAGGTGCCTAAATTCTGAGACTAAAACCTATGTTTCTGTCTCTTACGCCTTATGTGTTACCAGTACCGGTAATTCTGTTTCTTAAAAATGCATTATGTAAGAAGTAAATCTTTATTTTGGCTTCAAAAGTTAAATATAAACTACTATTTAGGAATTTATTCAACTAACAAGGCATTAAAAATTAAATGATAAAACAGACAAACAAGTCGCCTCTATTTTCCAGTACGCGCTACATCTTCCAAGACCTTTAACTTCACTCATAATAAAGTAATTTGAATGAAATTTTCAATAGCCAGAACGACCAGGTCTTCATCTAAATCTGACATAATGCATCCTTAACTCAGGACTTAGGTTAATTATGTCTTTTAACTTATGTTAATTATGTCTCTTGATTTATTTCAGAATGAGTTTGAATTGATATAGAAAATTGTTGATCCAGATGAACAAAAATCCAGCAAAATGGCTGGTGAAATGTGGGAGTTGGCTGCAGTAAGTTTGATACATCATTCTCTACCAAGTATTTATTTAAACATGCAAGGTGAATGTAAAAACACATTTGGCTTAATAACAAGAGATCAAAATAACTATTACAACCGCTGTATCTTAATTCCCCTGGTTTGAATTAAACTGGCCTTGCAGTGAATCTTATTTTGAAATCATTATGCACGCTTATGGAATATGACAATATGGATACCTCTATATAATCAGGGAAAGGGTATGCCTATTCATAGGCGTACGGGCTCGATGACAGGGGGTCATAACCCGAAATGGCCAAAAAATATTCGGGTTTACAGACAGCGGCGCGGTATTCCTCGAGAGGCGAAGAATCAGAGCTTACCTTGTGTGGATCCCCGCTCCCTCCAAGAAAATTTTGGAATATTTGACGGCTGCAAACACGTTTTCCTGCTATTTCAGCCCGTGAACAAAGCAACTTCAAAGAGACCTAATATAGGCTAATTAATAGTGCTCCTACGACTAGTCGGATAGCCGTAAACGGTTAGAACTGGACGGTTAAACGGTTTGAATTCAACGGTACGGTTATTCGGAGATGTCCCCCATTACATAGAGTTGTGTCTGATTATATTCCTCTTTATAACAAAACTTGTCCGTTGTAATTTTGTATTTGATGTTTGAAAATTTTAGAATGTAACAGTCGTCCAACGATGTCGACTGCTAAACAATGATACTATTAATAGCACTCGTCGTAGTCATACGGCAAAGTCAACGGACCTTGTTCGACTTTTGCTATTGTTAATCCAATCTAAATACTTCTCGGCATTTCTAACTATATTCTACCTTGTTTATTATTTACTTCAAAACGTAACCACCATTCAAAATATAATCATAAAGGCTAGAAAATGACATTATACTAGATTCGTTACGGCATTGAACACGTTTCATATCTCGTAATTTCTCGAATGAATTCTACTTTGGTTTTCAGTTAAATTAACCAATCATAAAAATTCTACTTGCAAGTGAGGAATTATTTCTTTATTGTCCAATCAATAGACGCCTTCTAATTTACTTTATTCTATTCTTAGTAACATTGTGTAATCGTAATATTATCGCCGTGTGTCACGTACGAAGGGAAATTGAGTATTGTTTTGTATATATTATCTTTATATTGAATTAAAAAAATGTTTCAAATGAACCAAGTTAACCAGGTAAATAAATAGCTACGGCCTTAGATAGTTTAAATTTTCATTAAAGAATTTTACATGTCTGAAAAAATTCCAGAAATTTTTGCGCGTGTAATGCCTTTTATAACGCGAGTATAGCGTGCGCACGAGTAATGACTCGTAGCTCCTGACAAGCTCTGTTTTATGTTTAAAATTGATACCATACGGTTAACGGTTACTAACCGGTTAATAGCTACGGCTATTCGAATAACAAAAAGTCCTAACCGTAGGAGCACTACTAATTAAGATGGCAGACTCGAATTCCAATCAAAAGATCAATCGTTTACAGTCCACTGCCGCAAACGCGTTTTCCGGCTATTCCAGCCTGTGAATACAGCAACTTAATTTGGTCCAATATAGCCTGCCTGGCTGAGCCGAATTCCAAACAACCAAGCAATTGTAAGCAACTCCAAAAGTATCCAATAGTTTTGTAACCAAAATCCCATTCTGAATTCCAATCAGACTGTTGCAGCTGCATTCACAAATAATAATCGATGCCCGAAAAATGTCGCACAAAGTAGAGTGGCTCCAGACAAAATGTTTTAATCCATAGTCAACTCAGTACAAATTCATTGTATTCAATTAAAGGACAATATTGGTGCCAGTCATTATCACATATATGATTTCCATTGCTACCGTTGTTACAATAATAAACAAAGTCTTGAGTATCCATTTTTTGATTAAATTATTAACTAGCAATCGTGTTTAAATCCGTTGAAAATCAAAAGCATTCTATGGTCTAGAGTGTTGATTATGGGCTTGGCATGTGAATAAATGTATAATTAATGATTTATATAACTTTTGAAGCTAAATGAAAGAATTGCATTATGCAGATTTAGGCAGATTTAGCTCTTACATAATGCATCTTTAAGAGCTCCTATGGCAAAAAAAAAAGATGATGAATTTTGAATTGTAAACCTTTAGGTAATCTGTTTTGTTTATTTTTTTATAGACAGCCATGGGAAAGGCCATTGCTGCAGGTAATTTAGCTGAATTAAAGAAATTACTGGAAGAAAAAGATGCATTATTATTTAAAGATAGGGTAGGTAGTGACATTGTATGAATCTTTAAAGAGAAATATACAGAATATACAAGTAATTAAAAAGACCTAAATGCATTGGGGTTTTTCCTTTTTTTACAAAGCCCCATCATTATACATTTAATGATCGATACAAAATGTAATTTTTCTCATGCATTATTATCAACAGAGAAATTTTCAAAAGGAGATACCATATTAAGCAGCATTAGTATGAAATGAACAACTATAAGCAGCTACATCAACTGATTTAATTCATTTAATTTTATAATTTGATAGAAGTTGATTATAATCCGATATATTGAAATAAACAAAGACATCAGTAGTATTATCTCCCTTTAAATAGACCATGGCATTTGTGCTTTTTACCAGGTGTGGTATGTGTTTTAAAATTGAAATTTAGTTTCTCTAGCTTTGATGTAACAGAGTAGTACCTGATAACATGGGTGGTCGAGTGGTCTGATATGTCCCTTAGGACATAAGGTCTATCATTGAGCCAAGTGGCTTGGTTTCAATCCGTCACCTGTCCAACCTCGTGGGGTTTCTCCGTCAAGTGGAAATTAAACCCCATTTCTCCTTTCTTGAAAATATTCTATTGAATATAAGTGTTATGGTCACACAGCCAATCAGCCATATTTTATAAATCTATTGGTACCTATACATGGCCCTGTCTGGCTTGTCTAGGAAGCAACACTCCAAAATAATAACAAAATTTTTAACCTGCTAGACTGTCATTATCCATTCTCTTATTTTACAGAAAGGAAACACCTATCTGCACTATGCCTGTACTATTTATAAACCTCATACAGTTAACCAATTACTAGCTTCTAATATAGATATAAATCATCAAAATAGAGTAAGTATTCTTAATATTAATAACTTCTATTAGTTCAAAATACAGTAATCTATATTGAAATGAAATAAAATGGGGTTAATATCCTAGTTTTCAGCACCAACAGGGGCAACAAGTTGAATGAATATGGTCATATTGTGTGCTATGGGGGAAATTTTGTGAGGATAGCGGCGCTACGTCCTACTCTTATTTCGAATTTCAACTGTCAAGGGTTCTTTTACTTGCATGCCAAAGTGTACACAGGACCTCGTTTTTTTGTTCCATCCAAACAACTAGAAGTTGTTCCTTGGCAAGTCTGACGAGGGGAAACAATGCTGGCACATCATGAGGGACTTTTTTCGGACGACATGGTGATCGAATCTGTGCCTTACCCATATACAGGTATTAGTCACAAATAACCACATCAATATATTGGATATCCCCCTTCCCTTACTTATAAAAAAACCCCGAATAGCAATGTCTTTTATTTACTGCATGTTCTAGAAAACTGTGCAATAAATAAGTCTATTGAAGATTATGTGATTTGTAGCACTCTTAACATTCTGACTTGTTCATGATTCTGAAAGGTCCCCATTTGACACTGTTTCTGGACTGTTCCTTTATCTACAGGGATGAGACTGACAGAACTCTTTTTCTGTTTTACCTTTCCTGCTCTCTGCTGGACTAACCTCTCAAGTACGACTGACTATGCTGATAAAATAAGTTTCTTAGGAAACATTTGTCAGCAATATCATCCAAGGTCGAAGTGAATGTTCATCCCAATGACTTGTTAGACTAGTGACAGTAAGAGTGGAATAAATGTATATATCCATTGTATTTTATAGCATGGTAATTCAGCACTACATGTATCAGCTATGCAGAGTGAATGCTGTCATGTTGCTGATCTTTTGATGTCTGGTATTAATCCTCATCTCAAAAACTGGGTAAGATTTTTAGCCCATATCTCAAAAACTGGGTAGGATTGTTAATGCACCTCACAAAAGCCGAGAAAGTTTTCTAATCTATGTCTAAAAAACTGTGTTGAATTTTAATTTTAATTTTAATCCATGTCGCAAAAACTGGGTTGATTTTTAATCCACATTTCAAAAACTGGGAAAGATTTTTAATCAATGTCGCAAAAACTGGGTTGATTTTTAATCCACATCTCAAAAACTGAGTAGGATTTTTAATCCATATCTCAAAAACTGGGAAAGATTTATAATCCACATTTTCAACTGTGTGCTCGTAAGAATATTTTCTTAATCCATTATATCTGAAAAACTGAATAAGATTTTAAATCAGCATAATCTTAACAATTCGATAATTTTTAATCAATATTTTTAAAGCTTGGTAAGGTTTTTGAGACATATTAATTTTATAAACTAGGTGAAAGTTTTGATCAGTATTGCGAAAATGGGGTACATTTTTATAAAAATAATCATGTCAGTCCTGGTATTAATATATGAATGATTTTTAATTACAGTTATACATCAATATGGTTTTATATCCTTTACATTATTTTTACTGGAATGGATAATTGTGTATTGAATCAAAATTGCTATTTAAAAAACATGGTAGTTATCTCCCTTTAATAGTTTACTATCCAGTAAACTTCTTGGGAACAGCCTCTAAGAGGATTCATCACCCAGTCTAGAACATAATGAAAATATTTTGGCAGCAGATTTGATTAAATTGATGTCCCTTCTATGAATAATAACAATTATTTCTTAAAATGTGTTTAAACTATCATTCATTATTGATGTTAGCTTTAGATGAAATGTCATTTTGAATTTGGTGATATTTAGAGATGAAATTTCAGTTTTTTTAGTTTTTGCACAATGTGTTTGTCTTTTTACAGGAAGGCAAAACAGCAGCTGAGTTACATCATAAAAATAAATATTGGTTGACAATCTATAATAAATATATGGTAATTATTGGATTTAAATCATAAAAATTTAATAAGTATTTGTTGACAATCTGTAAATATTAGATTTCAATCATAAATTTTTTTTTTTTTGTGAATGAAGGGATTTACTGAATTATATCTTGACATACTACATAACATCATTTGGTTAGTCATTTGGTTATGAGACTGTGAGACTGGACACAAAACTAAAATGTTCCTGGTGTAAAAGAACATTTCAGATATTTGGACAATTTGTTATTTCATTAAATGTTGGCATATAAGTATTGTTATATTTTGAGATATTTTTATCATGGGACACACATACTACCCTTGTTACCTGTCTGCTCAGAATTCTCTCCTTACATTAATTGCACACATAGAAAATGCCTGACTGTCTTAGAATGACTAAAGTGTCGTGTTAAAGTGACCTTGTCACCTTTCCTTTAAGAAGTGAGAAAATAATCTGACTAAATATACAAGGTTCATTTTAATTGTGACATACACATAATTCTAAAATGTTACACTAATTTGTTTCTTGTTGATTGTGTATATAGATCTAGTTGGTAGTTTTATTGTTTGTTGTATATTTGCAGCCTGGTATATTTGAAGCTGTAGAAAATCGGGATACAGAAAATATACAGAAATTATTGCAGTGTTGGACAAAACCAGACTGTGTCAGAGTAAATATTATTTGTTTCCTTTACATGTTTTAATTTAATCTGAAAAATGCACCCAAATCAGATATGAATGATATATATTGTCATAAATCTCAATTGGCTAGCAGTGCCGATTTCATAGGCATTTGTTTGTTTATATGTTCGTCTATTCAGGGTTTTCAGCAACACTAGGGCTGCCCCGGTGCTGAACTTTGGGGTATAAGAACAGCTCAAATTGGGGAGTGACAGGCCTGGTAGAGTTTTACTACTTTCTGATCAGGGCTTAACCTGGGGGAATCACTAGGAGTGATATATAGAAATAACCTTCTATATATTTATATATCTAATAACTATGCACCAGAAACTGAGCATTGCATCTTAACAGCTATCTTGGAATTGTGACATATCAAAAATCGTAGTCCTTCAGTTGATGCCCAATTGTCCAAGGAACAAGCATGCCATGTTCCATGTCAGTTATAAAAGAATGGGCTGAGCCTTAGGTTTTTTCGAAGAGCGTCTCCTGTAAGAACAAGAAGATGAGTACTGCTTGTGAACCAGTTCCTGGACCACAAATTGGGAGGTGTTAAATCTTCAAAACTTCTGATGATAGTATCTTTAATTCAGTGCAATTACTGCTCTTCTCTCTGTATATAAATTATTATTGGTTTGTTTTTTTACTCCATATGTTTTAGAATGGTCAGACTGTACGACAATATGCAGCAGTATTAAAATATCATGATATTGTTTGGATGTTAGATGAACAGAAAGCTACATCAGTAAGTTCATATTTATGGGATAATAAAAAAAAATAAAAACTCACTGCGGATAAAAGGTCAGATAATAGAGTATAAACAGCTTTCTATTCTTATATATTAAAATTCTTATTTAGATTAAAAGTTATACAAGTTTAATTGGGTTTTCTCCGGGTCCTCCAGTTTCCTCAAACTGCTTAAGACCCCTATGTGCAGAGAGAGAGAAATGGGGTTTAAACGTTCACTCGACACAAACTAGGTTATTTCGGGACTAACATGGTTTAATTTTATTTCAATAATTCGCTTGCGCGTAGGGGTCTTTAGCAGTGGGAGGAAACCAGAGAAAACCCTTGAGGTTGGACAGGCGACCCTTTTCCTTGTCACATACAACCGGGGATTCGAAACCACGCCAGTTGACTCAATTACAGGCCTCATGATACTGCACGCACGTGCTAACCTTTCGACCATCCCAACCCCCCTATGTGCTAGTGAATTATTGAAATAAAATTGAACCATATGTTAGTCCCAAAATGGCATAGTTTGTGTCGAGTGGACGTTAAATCCTCTGTCTCTCTCTCTTTTATACAAATTAAATAAAAATGTAGTTGCATCCACTGTCTGAAACCTGATTGAAGTACATTGCAATTTGACTTAAATTCTCATTACCAGTATCTATTTTTAAACTATTATCAATGGCCAGCTCTTTCTCTGAATGCATTAGTTCAATACGAGCAGGATACCCGGCTTCGCTCGGGGGTCATAACTCCGAAACCGGAAGTGGTAGACTAACACCACCTGGCCTATGTTACTCCCCGGTCCGAGCTACCCCTATACCCCAAATTTCAGACTCTGGGCAGACCTATTGTAGCCGCCAACCCCGAACAGACCGGCTTCGCTCGGGGGTCATAACTCCGAAACCGGAAGTGGTAGACTAACGCCACCTGTCCTACGGAACCGGAAGTGGTAGACTAACGTCACCTGGCCTATGTTACTCCCCGGTCCGAGCTACCCCTATACCCCAAATTTCAGACAGACAGACTTCGCTCGGGGGTCATAACTCCGAAACCGGAAGTGGTAGACTACCCCAAATTTCAGACTCGGGGCAGACCTAGTGTAGCCACCAACCCCGAACAGACAGACAGACAGACAGACAGACAAACGACAGTCACAAATATATATATAGAAGATGTATGTAATTTTATTGAATTATTACAGGATTTATTACATGGTGTTTTAGAAGTTAATTATACAAAAGTCTGTGAGGCTCTCACTAAATCTAAATGTAATGTCAATTATATCAATAAGGTAGGTGCACATTTTAAAGTGAATGTAAGCCTGGATCTTGATATCTTTTAAATGCTCTTTAAAAACATACTTTTTTCGAAAATGTTAACAGTGACCAATTAATGTTTCTACATGTTTATAAACTTTATGTACAGCAGTTTGAGATTTGTTAATGTAAATCACTATATAAAAAATTAATTATTATTATTATTTATTATTATCTCAACGGAAAAGAATTTGTATAGAAATCAAAATAATCACCAAGCAACAATTAAACTTGACAAGACCGTTTATGTGTATTTTACACACAGTCTTGTCTCAAGGATTTTTTCGATATATTTTAGGCTTTAGTCGATAAAAATTTCTCCCTTCGATGTAAAATTAATGTAGCACAAAATATGCAGGTGATAACAACAGACAGGACTATGTCATTATTCGAATTTTATTCCAATATTTGATTACATGTATTTTCAGACTTCTAGAAATTGTGAATCTTTCAAATCAACAAATTTTCAATTTATTATTCTAAAATATTAGTCGATTTCATTGAATTGATATATTTAATATACCATTAAATATTCAACTGATTATATTTCATTAAGTGTGAACACTACTGAAATGTAAGTCAACGTGAATTCAGTGTGATTCGGTGGTAGATATCTGTTTGCAAATCCTGTAGGCTTTTCATATTTTTTTCCAAAAAGACACATTGCCGTACCCCCAACATTTTTTTTAAAAGCTAGTTTTCCCTTATTCATTACATTTCTTAACTACTTGTACCATTCTCAGTCGTTGTTTTTTGTATTTTAGAGGAGAGCCGAAAAAAGCTCCCCTTAATGAACAAATTGATAAAATCGCTCCCCTAACAAAGCTCTCCCAGGTTTGATAAGAAGAGTGATTTAGAAATTAAGGAGAGTGATCTGATATTAATTAGAGTGATTAGTTGTGTATATTAATGAGAAATGGTTCTGAAGATCAATAACTGCATGTAAGGGATCATTCCTGAGTACATAAATGATAATAAACATTGTCTACTAAATAATAGTACCTGTAGTACTATTGTGAAGTCAAACTTTTGCTATCGTCTAAAACTACTTATGGTATTCAAATAGAATTACTTGTCGACATTTCTAAATATATATAACTTGTATAAATTTTGTTTAAAAACATAACCCCTGTTCAAAATATAATCATAAACGCTCGAAAATTCCATCAAAATATTATCTATTTCTTCCGGAATTATGTTAATTGGAAATTTTCACTTGCCATCTCTCGTAATTTCTCACGTCTCGCGAGAGTTCTACTTGACATTTCAGTTAAATTAACCAATGATGCATAGGCGCCATCTATTTTTAGCAATATATTCATCAGAATTTTATTACCATGTGCGATCACATTATACACTAATCGAATACACCAAATAAATGTTCACAATGACAGCATGGCAGCGATCGAAATGTGAATCTTTCACACTCTTTTAAAAAAAAATACATATGTCCATGATTTACAAATAAGGGAGCGATTTTCAATTTTAAGGTGAAGGAGAAAAACCTCCACACGGTCGACATTCTCAATTTAATAGATATAAAATTAAAACCATTTTGTTTTCGAGTGGTCTCACCTGAAAATGTAATTTGATTTTTGAAATATAGTATACCATAATTTTGTAGGCTAGTAAGAAGAGTCATATATTACAGTATGCTATGTCATTACAAGACAAAGTACTAGTACGATTACTGTGTGATGCTGGAGCAGATGTTAATACGTTGGTTACTGTACATCATTATTATAAGGTATAATGTTTAAATATTTAATTACTTAAAGTTAATAATTACTCTACATAATAACTATAAGTATATTAGGATAAATACAGGTATGATTATTATATGACTGCTAATACCTTTCTTCCTAATTACTATCAACTGTTTTAATACAGAGAGAGAGAGACATGGGTTTAAGATTAGAATTACTGAACGGATTTGGATTGTTTGCTATATGTTGAAATTTTTTCTTATTAAACTTTAAATATCTGTAAATTAAATTTGTTTTCTTATTGAATGGTCATGCATGTACTTTAGATCATAAGGTCTGCCATTGAGTCAAGTGGTATGCTTTCGATCCCGCGCTTGTACTTGACAAGGAGTATGGTTGCCTGTCTAACCTCATGGGTTTTCTCTTTGGCCTCCGGTTTCCTTCCACAGTTAAAAAGAATTAAAACCCATTTCTCTCTCTCTGTTGAACATTTTAAGTCACATTTTAGTAACAAGTTTTGAAACAGGTCGAAACTTGTAGTGCTTTGACTTTGTTGTTATATCCCTCAATATATCTTACAGGGGCCTTTGTACTTTGAAGCATTAAATACCAAACTACCAGAGGAAATCTTGTGGAAAATTCTTAAGAGTGGCGCAGACATTAAATTAAAAGATGAAGTAAGTAACTATCAATATTTTAGAACAAAGTAAAATAAGGTTGGGGTGGCCAAGTTTGGATTTTGTCGTTGATTCCATGATGTGGTCAGATTTTTAAATGTGTAATACGGTGTAAGTATAGGATATTTACCTACTCGAGGTTGATATGGTAGAGAACGTGCGGACGAAGCCCCCGCGTTCTCTACCATATCAATCCGAGGGAGAGTAGGTTTATATCCTACATGTACAACGCCATTTCACCCTTAAATTTAATGGGCTCTTCCATTAAAAGGCAACAATGATTGGATAATTGCTCGATAGCTTCCGCCAAATAGCGAAAATTACCGAAGTAATTACGTGCATGTTTTTGTTTATACATCGCCATTTTGGACTATTGAATTGAAACCAAAAACAAAATGGATAGTCAGACAAATAATCAACTTTTTTTAGGCCACACAAAATAAATGTCTTGTTTCTCGGGCAACTGACAGCTGAAACTGTAGGGAGGGAGGGCGGTTTCTTTTTTTTTTTTTACTCATTGATGGTGCAAAATAAAATTTGGCTATTGCTGAAAATTGTTGGGGCGGGAGGGCGGTCTTTCTTTTTTTTTTTTTTTTAAATGAGAAAGTCATTACTTGTTTACGTTTTTGCTTTCCGTTATATTCAACTTTATTGTACATACTTAAAACATAAACCCAAAATCAAGTCTACTAAAACACTGAGACTGAACACTGACTGAAAGGAAAATAATTTTCCATATTTAATTCACATAATTGAAATTGGTTTAAAATAAAATTCCATACGACTATGTAATAGCCCTCCATAAAGACAACAATATTTTTAAAAACTAAGCCTCTTTCACCAGGTGTATCAAAAATAATAATCATGGTAAACAGTATTTAAAACTAAATCTAGTATCGCCGGTTTATTTATAATTATTTACCGAATTCCAACCAATATGCATGTCACACCGTGTCATCGGTATTGGAGATTGCCGGAAATACTGTTTCTTGGGATATTCGGTGTGTTTCTCAGGATATTCGGTGTTCTATCCGGTGTTTATATTGAATGACTATTTAAATCTAACTAACAACTGGTCAGTAAAACCATCAAATCGGTAATCCAATTATTATTTTCCGGATTATCGAAACTACCGTACTAATAATGACCCAGATTCTAAGGTATGCATAATGACGACTATCGTCATCGTATCGTATTCTTAGCTATAATTAATTAACCTGTTCTACGGTTCATTATTTTATCAATAGGATTTTCCAAACAAGGACCGACTGAAGCCGGCAATAATGAGCCGATTACGATCGAATGATTGAAATATTGTCGCCAATGACTTTTAACACGAATCAAATTCTAGTTTATCAGGGGAGGTAATTAATATCACGTGATACAAAATGGAGGTTCTTTCGATATCAATAAAAAAGGCAAATCTACCAAACTTCGCCATTGTTCGGATAAAAAAGACAGCATGTTCATCTGAATCAGTTTTAATACATTTGAATAGATATACATGTATGGCGGATGTAGGTACATGCGGGATATTTTTTTTACGACTTGCTTGTCGATGTGCGGGCGGGCGTTACATATTTATTTTTTTTCATCAAGACTAATAAATAGACTGCACGCGCAACCAATTTTGCGTGCGGGCGGTGCCCGAGAAACAAGTTATTTTATTTGTGTTGCCTTAGCCAACATGTTGACGATGGAATAGATGTGAATGCAAATATCGACGAGGATCTATCCAAAGCCTACAGAAAATTTGGACCAAAAAGCATTCTTTTCCAAGAATCCTGACAGTAAACCATGATTGAAGGTTTTCGGTATGTTCAGAGAAGGATTTGACCGACTGTTTTAAGTGGACTGTACCAAAAATACTTTACAAAGGAACTCTTGGGCGATAAATACTTTCAAGTCTTGTAGTGTGTGGAGAAATAATCACAATGTGGACGAAAAGAAAATTCTGACATGTCTTAGACATGGATAACCGATCTAAATACATGTATATCGATAAGTACGCCGTCTATTTCAGCCCGGAATGTTACAAACTGTACCATAACAATTTTTAATTGTCAAAAGAATAAAAATTTATTTCTGTGTTTTTTGTTTTATTTCGATCATCTATGTCATCAGCAGTTCATATGAGCCGAATATATCAACCTGAGATGACGTCATTAGCGGTTGATATGAAATATCAACCTGTCATGACGTCATCAGTGGTTGATATGAACAAATATATCAACCTATGATGACGTCATGACGGGTTGTTATGAGATTTAACTGCTACGGACATCAATGAAAAAACGACCGCCAGTTGTATATTTCAACATAGCACCCCGAGGTGGTTCATTTATTTTGGTATTGTTCAGTACCAAATTGTTTTATTATATGACAGTTGAGATCGGAATTCGGAGGCAACTTGTATGTGTCGCTCGTTTGTGGATTGAGATGAGATCGTAGTTTGTTAAATTTACAGGTCTTATAGCCAATCTTATCTCTTATATTATATCTATATTTATACTTTACTAACGTATTATATCTATATTTATACTTTACTAACGTATTATATCTATATTTATACTTTACTAACGTATTATATCTATATTTATACTTTACTAACGTATTATATCTATATTTATACTTTACTAATGTATTATATCTATATTTATACTTTACTAACATATTAAAAACTCTAATTAAATATTACTGGTATTTTCTCACTGAAAATTCTACACTTTAAATGAAATGAAATGGGGTTTAACGTCCTACTGTTCTGCTCCAAACTGGGCTAATGAAGACGGGCATCCGCCAAACAGTGTGCCGTGGGGGAGATTTTTGCCCGGACAGCGGCACTACGGTCCGCTCTTATACAGAATTCCAACTGTCAGGGATCTTTTACGTGCATGCCAATGTGTACTCGGGACCTCGTTTTTTTGTCCCATCTGAACGACTAGACAGCTGTCCTTGTCAGGCCCTCCGTCCTGCATCAATGACAAGGGGGAACCATGCAGGAAAATCTGGATGAACTTTCTCGGCCAATAGGGGATCAAACACTCGACCTCCAGGCTAGTGAGCCAGCCTCTTACCAATCCGAACGACTAGACAGCTGTTCTTATCAGGTCCTCCGTCCTGCATCACTGACAAGGGAGAACCACTCCGGAAAATCTGGATGAACTTTCTTGGCCAATGCAGAGTCTACACTTTAAATATGATTATTATTATATTTATACTCTACTATAAAGTATGATAATTAAATTCAAATTTCTCATTGAAAATTGTGCATTTTGAGGATGATTATTATATTTTTTAGTTACATTGTTTACTGAAATAGATTTTCTTGGAATCCAATTGTCTTGATTGGCAGGCTTCCTGCTGAAATAGAGCCACGGTGGTTCAGTGAGTAATGTGCTGGCTTACTAAACAGGAAATCTCAGGTTCAAGCGCAGTGTTGTCAGAGAAAGTTCTTCAGTATTTTCAAGCGAGGTGCCACCTTGTCAGTGCTGTAGCGTGGCAGTGAGCAGTGCTTTAATTATTATTGCGATGGGATGGAAAACCTAGTACGTCCTGGCGATGCACATAAAAAGAACCCTTGGCCTTTGGAATTTGATAAAATTGTATCGCTGCTTGTGACATTGTATTGCTGCTGGTTTACACATGTATATATTTCATCTGCTATTATTTTCAGAGAGGACGAAATGCTTTGATATTTGCTTTAGATAAAAGTAATGGCCGTATACCACTATCAGTAATAGAATATTTGATAAAGAATGGAGCTTATATAGCAGATAGAGATGAGGTAAAAATATTGAAAATGTTTTAAAATTGGTTCAAAATACTACTTTTCTGCATCAACTGGGCATGTGTATTCCATATGTTGTACTTTGAAAAAAAAACAATTCAAGAGGCCTCATAAATCAATCATTGATAAAAGTTCCTTCATGGCCGGATCAAGCCCCTAATATTATAGGGACTTCTAAATTAGTTGTATATGAGTTCAGTTCCGGACTGGGTCCACCTGTCCACCTGTCCACCTGTCCGTGGGCCTATGCCTATAAAGAAAAAATAAAAAAGTAAAGAGAAAGAAAGGAGAGGCGGAGGAAAGAAGAGAAAGAAGGAAGGAAGGAGAGGACAGGACACAGGACATGAGAAAGAAAAGATAGGAAAAAAATGACTGACAAAAAACACAAAAAAAGAAGCGTACTACAAGGAAAGAACCTTATTAGTTTAACCTCATTATACCGAGAACCGTGTAATTCATCTTTTGTTTTTGACACTGAAGAGAATTCTCAAATAGTGCTCTTAGGTCATTCTGTTATCTAATTGTATCAGGAAATCAAAAATTTGCCTTCTGCTTTGGTCTGAAATGCTTGGAAAATGGGTTTGCGGTTGTCAATTTTCAAAATTTCAACCCCAGACCCCCCTCGGGCGCTTGTGACGTGCCTTTGGCGCGTACTTCTGCGGGCCTTTGTTAATGACCTGACAGGGGGGCCAAAAGCCCACCAGTCCGGCACTGTATGAGTTGTATATGTTTGTGCCAAATAAATCGAACTGTCTATCATAGTCATATACAAATTGAATTTGCATTTATGTGGGTTTGGCAGACAATGACTAGAATATGCCCCCTTTTCACTGTTGATGCAAGGGTTCCAGTGACATTTTCATCCAGGGGCTCTAATCTGGCCCATTGTTTCTCCTGTTCTGGGTGGTTGGATGGCCGAATGGTTAGCACGTGCGTGCTGTATCATAAGGTCTGTCATTGAGTCAATTGGCGTGGTTTCGATCGATTCCCTTGTTGTACGTGACAAGGAGTGGGGTCGCCTGTCCAATCTCGTGGGTTTCCTCCAGTTTCCTCCCACTGCTAAAGACCCCTACGCATAAACAAATTATAGAAATAAAATTGAACTGTGTGTTAGTCCCGAAATGACCTAGTTTGTGTCGAGTGGACTTTAAACCCCATTTCTCTCTCTCTCCTCCTGTTCTAAATACAGCCCAACTAGCTTTTAGACTAATATAAGATATTTTCGGATGATGTTAAGTTTTATTTTATATATTACAGACAGGAGTGAATATAAGAGATGTAGCTAGATTAGCTCGTAGAAAGGATATTGTAGACTACATTGACAAGGTAATTTAATTTATCAAAGGAATAAGTAATAATACTGTATCCTGGATGTCATTTTATCTGTATGTTACTATCATATTCTTAAAGATATGTTCACTTAATTAGGTCTCTTATTCAAGCCCCCAAATTTTTTTCATCTAAATATATGAGCAAGAAAAGATGATAGATTTAGGATGATTAATCATTTGAAAAAAAGGTTGTTTGAAACGAAATGTTATGATTAAAGTAGTACTCTAGTGGCTCCTTGGGTTGGAAACTTTAAAGAGACTGTTTAGAATGTTGGATGCAAGTAGATATATTAAAATAATCTCTTTCTCAGGATCTTTGCTTGATCATATTACAGAACATTATCTTTTTAAAAAAACTGAGGCAGTATGCATAACAATGTTGATTTATAGTTACTTCCTGACATAGCAACAACAGATAATCAAACTGTGAAATATTCACACAAGCTTGGTTTGTATTCGTATGTCATATGATATTTACCACAAATGTTTTAGGATAAGGCCGTGTTAAATTAATTCTGTGTTTTGGGTCAACCGCGCGCGTAGCTTTCACATCGTCAAATCGATGGTTGTGTTGATTTTCTACACGGTAGTTTGTGTTGTGTTTTGATTTCGTCAGCTCCGCTCGCGTACCTATCCACACAGTACATTCTTCACTATCGAACACACGCCTGTCTATTTTAGGCGACATATGCACATTTTTTATTTACACGCATAAATATTGGTTTTAAAAAATAGAATAATATCGTAATTTGTATACAGAAAGATTTAAAAACAAATCACGGTCATAAATTTAAAACGTTATTACATTACTCCATGTGTCACCACGCGAAATTTCGCTGCCACGTTGTCCTTGGTTACATGTGTACATCTATAGACTTGTTTGTCCTGACACGCGCTGACTTCTAATAACAATTTAACGGACTGGACAATTTTTATTTTATTTACTATTATTTCCGGTACAGCGCGACTTATTTCAACTTGCCTACAACTTCCATCATGGCGGATTCGGTGGCAGTAGACACTGGTGAAAAAACCCTCCTAAATCTACAAATATCGGTGCTGCCAGGGAAAATAAAGGCATTGCAGTGGACCGTTGTAGAAACTCCATATGAGTACACTTTTAGTAATCTTAAAGAGGCTTTGTGTAATGACTCTGACGCATTATTTCCTCGTCATTATCTGTCAAATGCACTGCGACAAAAAAATGAAATTGACCAGGGCGGCCTTAAAATGCAGTTCTACAACATAGAATGTGACATCCACACCTGATGGAATATCTAGTAATAATAGAATCTTCCTAAAAACAATCCTGGAGATGGCTCTATTGAGTATATTCAGCAATATTCTGAGTATGTGTTGTGTTAAAAATTGGGAGGTGTGTTGTGTTGACCTCCCTCCCTCATTGAATTCTGGAGACCCTAAAACCTGAAACACAGAATTAATTTAACATGGCCTAATATACATAGCAACAATATAAATTCAAGTCATATAATATTCATATCAGTGTGTTTTGTTTGTATTAGTGTGCCAGCGTCATCTTGCATTTAAAAACAAAACTGAACACAATTGCTTCTGTAAAAATAACTTTCTTTTAAACAAAATATATAAATTATTAATTTTTGCGACTGAACCGTTTTGAAAAGATACGTGAAGTTGAATGAAAGTTTTAAGTCACAATCAAATGACTGCTGAATTATCATCCATGTACATTCATTGTTTATCGCCAAAATTAAATCATGCTGAAGGTAGTGAAACATTTTGAGATTTTATCGCTAAAGCTTCATCATGCTAAATGTTGTGAAACCGATTGAGATTTTGTAAAGGATGTTATTCTGGTTAAAGATGCATTATTTAAGAGCTAAATTTGCCTATTGCAGATCTTTCCTTTGACCTCAAATGTTATATAAATAATTTATGCGACATTTATTTACATACCAGGCCCATAATCAACTCTCTGGAACTTCAGATGGTTTTGATTGTCAACAGATTTATGATTTAATTTAAAAATGACAATTGAGACTACACTGTTCTGTAAACAGAATGAAGTAATTTGACTTATATTTTCAACATATTACCTTTTCATTATCTATTGTTTTAAGTATTATGGCGAGAACTGTCAGCTCTTTATCTAAATCTTACATAATGCATCTTTAACTTTCCCTGATTGATCACCATGTCATGCTATGTTGATAATATAAAATACCCTCACACCATCATCTGTTATACATCAATGGATATATTTGAATTTTAATAATTCATAGATGACAAAGCGAATATAATTGATACTCAATTAAATCAAGCAATTCCATACATCCGTCATGTGGATGTATATTGTCTTCGCCCCTGTCTGTCCGGATGTCTGTCCGTCCGTTCACAATTTGTTTGTGGACGCTCTACACGTCACAATTTTTATCCAAATTTGACGAAACTTGAAATATAGGTCTATCTCCCAAAGATCTCGATTCCTTTCAATATTCACATGTATCAGAGCATAACTTCATGGATTATGGCCCCTGATTGTATGAAAAATCACGTTTTTAGCTTGTGGACATTCTAAAGGTCACAATTTTGATCCAATTTTGATTAAACTTGAAAAGCATGTTTATAACCCAAAGATCTTGGTTCCTTTATATATTCGTGCATATCGAATTGTAAGTTCCTGAATTATGGCCCTTGATTGTACGAAAAATATCGTTTTGAGTTTGTGGTCCCTATACAGGTCACAATTTTTATCTGTTTTAAAAAAAAAAACGTGTGAATATATCACAGTTATACATTAATATAATGATGGTTGAGTTCGAATTTCATGAAAATCGGACTAAAACTGACGAACATGATGGCCGCCCCTTGTCCGCAAATAGTGTAAAAATATGGTATATCAAGGTTGTGGATCCTCTAGAGGCCACAGTTTTTATCTAATTTGGATGAAACTTTAAATATATGTTTATATCGTAAAGATCTTGGTTGCTTTTGATAATCACACATATCCGAACGTAACTTCCTTGATTATGGCCCCTGATTGGTAGAAAAATCGCATTTTTAGCTTGTGGGTTCTCTAGAGGTCACAATTTCAGGAAAATCGAAATGAAACTGCCCAACAAAATGGCCGCTCTTTGTACGCAAATTGTGTATAAGTATGTAATACAAAGGTTTTGGACCCTCTAGAGGTCACAATTTTTATCCGATTTTGATGAAACTTAAAACATATCTTTATATTCCAAAAATCTTAGTCCCTGTCGATATTTGCGCATTTGAGACCATAACTTTCTGGATTATGGCACCTGATTTTACAACAAGTTGTTTTTGTTTTTAGCTTGTTCTCTATCCATCTCTTGCAAAATGTGGGCGTATCTTGTCTGGGCACGGCAAATGACCCTAGTCAGCTAATGTCCTGGGTTTATATTATTTACCATGTAACAAATTCTATTTATTTACTTTTATTGTTCTTTGGGTAAGAGGGGCGTTGCCGAATGGTTGGCACATGCGCGCTGTGTATCATTAGGTCTGTCATTGAGTTAGCTGGTGTGGTTTCGATTCCCCAGTTGTACGTGACAAGGTGTAGTGTCGCCCGTCAAACCTCATGGATTTTCTCTGAGTCATCTGGTTTCCTCCCACTGCTAAAGACCCCTATTGAAATAAAATTGAACGATGAGTTAGTCCCGCGAAATGACCTAGTTTGTGTGGAGTGGACCTTAAACCCCATCTCTCTCTCTCTCTCTCTCTCTCTCTCTCTCTCTCTCTCTCTAATCAGATTGAATGTTGGGTAATTCTAATATCTCCACTCAACAGAAGTATAAACAGACTAATAAATAGCATAGAGTGGTGGTTTAATCAGAACGTTTCAGGTCATACAACCCTATTTCAAATTCTCTTTTTTAATGTTATTATATTTACAGTATTATGTGAAGATATTAAGAAAATCTGATATTAAAATGTTAGAGAAACTAACTGTAGATGGCTATGACAGTATAATGATACAACACAATGTAAGTTATACAAGCCTGGACATAAGGCATCTGTTACAGACACTTTGTCAAGTACAAATGTGGACATAGGCACAACGTATATATATATACAAGGGTGGACAATGGGCACTTATATATATACTGTTCAAAAAAACTAGGGGATATTCAGAAACAATACAAAACTGCGGAAATGCACTGCTGTTTTTATTAGAGGTAACCAGTGTATGTTAATAACAGGCCAATTGCCTACACATGAACATAAACAGTTCATATGGGCGGCTTATCTGACGGCCCCATTTCACTCGCAAAGAGATACACTGTCAAAAGTGAAAATGGACGTTTTTGATTTTTGTCAATCTGACCTACTCCTCTTGCTGTGCCACAGCCGAATTCTTTCAGTGTTGTCAGTTGATGTTGACGTCGACGAACACGTCTCCGATAAACCAGCAAGCGGCAGTTTTCATCAACCCTTCCTTGAAGTGTCAAATTTGACTCCCACGTGTATGGCACTATTGCATGTCGCACATGCAGCTCAGTGGTTCTGTTGGGGCGATAAGTTCTTCATCAGTGAACATACTCTCAAAGCATGTCAAGTGTCCATGACTATTTATCATATGACAACCTGCATAGGTATTTGCATTTCAATATCCCCTACTTTTTTTGAAGAGTATACAAAGGTGGACATAGGGCACAACATAATATATACAAGGGTGGACAGAAGGCACCTGTCACAGCGTTTGTCAGATACAAATTATCACAAAACATATACAGTAGAACTTGTATTAAGCAAGCACCCAAGGGAAATTTAAAAATGCTTGCTTAATGGAGGTGCTCTTTGACTAGAGGTATCCAATATTGCCCCAACCCCTACCACAAAAAATAAAGATATAGATTGCATATATTTTTTTTATTCATGTAGTATAACAATACATGTACTTTTTATCTAGTTGTGAATTCAAAGTAGTCGCGTATACATGTTTGTTTAGTAATACTGGATCTCTGGCCCCCCAATATTTCTTTTACTTTCATCATACTGAATCATAGCATCTAAAAGCTTTTCAAAATGCTGTGAATTTGAGTATTTCCCACCCCAACTATTTTAGCGATTACGCGACCACTTAAAAAAAACTCGGTGCTTTTTGTGCTGACATAAATTAATTACGCTTGGGTGCATTGGGAGCGAACATCAATACTTGCATCGATAAATTTGAACGTCGCTGAATCTTGCGCCGAACGAAATTCTTTACTCAAATCTCGAACATAACTTCTGTAAACTTGTCATTTTGTACCAACTGTCGATACTACTGTCTACCATTGTGATGCATTCGATAATATTTATCCATTTTTGTGAAGAAAATCGATGCATTAATTTTTTTTTTATCAAAAAAGCACATGAACAAAAAAACATCGCTGATTTTATCACCGATTTACAGGGGGTGTAACTCTGCATGCAATATTATAGGGGGCGCTAAAAAGTCTGTTTAACAACAAAGTGGCAATGGAAAAGAGATACTAGATGATCGTGACAAAACTCGGTACTTTCATTTTATTCAATCAGTATCAAATAATGTGTCGTTACGCGTGAAAACAATGATCAGGCTGGTCGTTTAATAAAACAAAAGATTAATAAACAGATAATCCCGGGTTGATTGTTATTTTTACGTTTCTTTTTACCTGATCAGTGGGGGTCCAGTTAATTAACTACTACTCACAGGATTAGCGGGAGTGTTAGGACTACGAAGAAAGAACAACAAGATGGTATCATTCAACAATGGCCGTTGAATAGGTGATGTTTTGTTGAATTTATAAGTAAAATAGTTACCGCTGGCCGTGTTAGAGGAGTGACCGTTGAAACAGTAGAATTTTTACGGGGGGGAATTTTTTGGTGCTCGTTGAAGCAAGTGTTTGCTGATTAGGAGTGCACGCCCGAGCAAGTTCTACTGTATATTATAGTGAAAACGGTATGTGATAATTTGTGTCCGACAAAGGCTGTGTTATTAGGTGTCTTCTGTCCAGGTTTGAAGCTATAAGCTGTCTGTAAATTCCAAAAGCTATTACATCTTTAATTAAACCCTTCTATTATCTTAATAATAATAATAATAATTTATTTATAGAGCGCCTATAATCCAATACTTAGATTGCTCTATGGCGCTATTACATTATTGTAAAGGTATAAAATATAAAACATCTCAATAATAAGAACATTGCACAATTAGAATAAAATATGGTATACAATAATAAAAAAGTAAACTCTGAAAAAGCTTAAGCATTTAGCAATTAAAATGGCTTTTAAAAAGGTGGGTCTTTAACTTTTTCTTAAAAACAGGCAGGGAAGGGGAATCTTTAATTTCAGAAGGTAACTTATTCCATAGTTTAAAAGCAGCAAAACTATAAGACCTTTCCCCAAATGAGGATTTTGCATGATAGGGCATTAGCAAGTTTTTGTTTTGTGATCTAAGTGTGCGTGTAGGAATATATGGGGTCACTAGTTGTTTGAGGTAGTCAGGTGAGTCTTCAATATTAATGACAGCATATGTTAGAGAGAGTATTTTAAATTCAATTCTGCTAGTAACTGGCAGCCAATGCAGTTGGTGTAAAATAGGGGTGATATGTTCACATAGTTTAGTTCTAGTAATGACTCGAGCGGCTTTGTTTTGAATTTTTTGTAATCTATTTAGCTGAAGAGAAGGCAAGTTAAACAATAAAGAATTACAATAATCAAGGCGGGAGGTTACAAGTGAGTTGACAAGCATTTTAGAAGTATCAGTATCAATAAAGTTTCTTATGCGACCTATATTATATAGTTGAAAATTGGCGGATTTACACATATTCGACACATGTTCTTTCATGTCAAAATTTTTCCCAAATTTAACACCGAGGTTCCGTACACTGTTACTTGGATGTATGACAGCACCACCCACTTTAACATATTTTGTAATAATTGATGAGAGTCTATGATCGGTTCCTATTTTTAATAATTCAGTTTTATCATCGTTTAGTTTTAAAAAGTTGTTTTTCATCCAGTTTTTTACATTATCAATACATTTCTCCAACTGAATGATTTGTTTACTTTCGTTGTCGGGTGTTACAGCCACATACAGTTGTGTGTCGTCTGCGTATATATGATAGTCTAAATTGTGATCTCTAAGAAGTTTACCAAGAGGGCAAGTATAAGCCGTAAATAATAACGGACCGAGTACTGATCCTTGCGGAATTCCATATTTTATGTCTACTGGTTTTGATGACTGCTTATTTATGACAACAGACTGTTTTCGTGAAGTGAGATATGATTCAAACCATTTCAGGGCATAGCCAGTAATTCCAAAATAATCTTTTAAACGTGTAAGTAGAAGTGCTTGGTCGATGGTATCAAAAGCAGCACTTAGGTCAAGAAGAACAAGAAAAACTACATTTTTATTATCTAGATTAATTAAAATATCATTTTGCACTCGGAGTAAAGCCGTTTCTGTACTATGGAGTTTTTTGTATGCGGATTGAAAGGGTTCGTCCAGATGCTGAAATTTTAAATGATCTTTAAATCTAACAGATACTGCTTTTTCCACAAGTTTAGATAAAAATGATAGGTTAGATACTGGCCGATAATTTTTGAAGATGTTACTGTCTAAAGTACTTTTTTTGATTAAGGGAAAAACTAAAGCTTTTTTCAGAACATCAGGGAAGGTACCAGTTGATAATGATGTATTTACAATATAAGTAAGAACAGGACACAGTTCTTCGATGCACATTCTTCTCACATTACTCTAAGGGTCTCGGCATATTCTCCACTACTCACTTTCTCTCACGCAGACGACATACACTCAAACAATAATACATGTAAACAATATAGTTGACAAGGTTATCACTGTATTACTTTCAGTCTGGCAATAAGATATCTTGTGAAATCTTTGTTTTGTCTCTTGTAGTATCTTTTAATTAACTGGTATAATTATTTTTATTTCAGAGTCGTGATACGTTTGTATTTGCCAGTGGTAATGAAACAGATGATGTACTCCAATTTATTGATTGGTTACCTGAATTTGAAGTAAGTAAGAGAATTAATTGAATTTATTTGCATAACTAGTCTTGATTTTTATTATCTCCTTCATGATTCATTGATTGATTCTGTGTGTTCAATTATTTTAAGTGCAAAAACATTTGCTTCAAGACAAACTAACTTGAACCAATGTAATGCAGATGTGCCAAGTCAAAAGTTGGACTAAGACAAGAGTATAGTGTTTTGTAGTTCACAAATTGATAAACGTGTAGTTTGTAGTTACAGATGGGAACAAACACAGTTATCTTTATTTGGCTTACCATAAACTCAAAAGTTTTTTTTTGCAGAAACTTGTATTACGTCTTCATAAAGGGTTGAAGACTGGTAGTGAATTACATGAAATAAAAGAAATATTTAGCATTTGTGATTCTCCACATTTACTGGTTAATACCAAAGACAAGGTAAGAGATCGGAGGGTATACATTTTATATATTGTATAATATAGAACTACTATTAAAGGAGCTAAATCGCTAACATTTGGGACCTAGAAATTGACAAAAGTGGGTCGCAACGCATATAATACTGTAATATGAATGTATATAAACTGATTTACATTCAATGGTTTCCGTTTTTACTCCAATTTCAAATCAGTTATGTTCGGCGAAATAAGCCAGCAGTCTCAAGCCAGTGCCAATTTCTAGCATCTGGTTATTCCAGTCTACATACGTCATAGTTTCTAAATGTAGATTAAATAAACCTCATAATTGTACTATATCTTTGATTCTTTTGGATGAATCCATTTGGAAGATTCATTATGTTTCAAGGAGTTCAACTTATGCAGATATAAGGTATGCTCGTGGCTCTGTGAGTAATGCAGTAGCTCACTATACAGGTGGTCTGAGAAAGTCCCTCAGTGTTTCTCAATGTTGTTTCCCTTTGCCAACAGTTTACGATGAAGCGCCTGGCAAGGAGCAGCATCTAGTCCTTCAGATGGAACAAAAAACAGGTCGTGCATAAACTTCATTTCAGTTCCAAGTATGCCATTACTTAAATGTGGTTGATAAATAAGGCAGTCGATTCTGATCAGATATTCATAAAATAAATTATATTAATTTTCTTTATGAAAGTGATAATGCCTCTTTAAAATTTGATTTTACATGTATATTGATTTGAACTTTCAGGGAGGCAGGTCATCGGTAATATTGGCAGTTCTTTATGATAGACTTGATGTTCTGGAGTTTTTATTAGAACAGCCAGGTGTAGAAATTAATAGTCAAGACAATGTAAGCCTTTTGTTTTCATATTTTCTATTGCTAAAAATAGCCTCACTTCACAAATGGGTTGCAAATAAAGCACTTTAAATTCTAGGACATGAACAATTATTTTAGTTGTCAATGAAAAGGGAAGAGGCAATACCCTCTGGACTATAATGTTGTTTGATGAGGGGTTGGGGTAACTGAGATTTCTACTAAGTTCCGATTTCTGTGATTGTTGTAAGGCTCGTTCACACGTACACTGCCCCAGAAATAGGTTCACCAGCCTAAGCGTGTGAATTCTATGGCTTACCTACACAGCTAAAGATGCCTATGGGCAAAAGAGAGAGAGAGAGAGAGAAATGGGGTTTAACATCCACTCGACACAAACTAGGTCATTTCGGGACTAACATATGGTTTAATTTTATTTCAATAATTCGCTTGCACGTAGGGGTCTTTAGCAGTGGGAGGAAACCGAAGGACCCAGAAAAAACCCACGAGGTTGGACAGGCAACCCTACTCCTTGTCACGTACAACCGGGGATTCAAAACCACGCCAGCTGACTCAATGACAGGCTTCATGATACAGCGCGCACATGCTAACCATTCAGCCATCCAACCCCCCTGTCTATGGGCAAGCAATTTATTGAAATAGAGATGTACCATATGTTCGTTTCACTTTAGATTGTAAGGTCTGTGATCAATACCAGTATCATGGTTTCAATCCCATACTCATCAGTCACCCAGAAGGAGTAGGTTCACCTGCCTATTATAATCTTGTTGGTTTTCTCTGGGTTCTAAGGATTCCTTCCACTGCTAAAGGTAACAGCATGTAAGGCTAATTATTAAGATACAGATAAACTGTGTTAGTCTTGATGTGACCTGATTTGTGTTGAATGGATGTTAATATGTTAAAAACTGTATCAAATTGTGTTTAAAGTCCACTCGACACAAACTACGTCATTTCGGGACCGACACATGATTGAATTTTATTTCAATAACTAGCTTGCACAAAGGGGTCTTTAGCAGTGGGAGGAAACCAGAGGTCCCAGTGAATACCCATGAGGTTGGACAGGCGATCCTACACCTTGTTACTTACAACTGTGGGATCGAAACAACGGCAGTTGACTCAATTTTATTTCAATAACTCGCTTGTGCGTACTGGTATTTAGCAATGGGAGGAAACTGGAGGACCTGGAGAAAACCCATGAGGTTAGACAGGCGACCCTACGCCTTGTTATGTACAACCAGGGAATCGAAACAACGCCAGTTGACTCAATAACAGACCTTATGTCAGGATACATCGCGCAATTGCTAACCATTTGGCCATCCAGCGCCCCGCCTCCACCCAGTTTGTGAGAACTCATGGCTTAGAAAAAAAGACAAATGCAGTGATGGTCTAGTTAAATTGGTGTTTTATTATACGAAAGTATTGCGAGCCCTTTGCATATATTCATAAATTTGAATATTACAGTGTTACAGAACAGCATATCATTATGCATGTCACCTTGGAAAAAATGGAGAAGAAATAAGGGAATTGCTGAAAAACAACCAGATCGACACAGATATAGTTGACAATGTAAATACCACAAACCTTTTTATAACTACAAATCTTTTGATGGAATATCACCAGATGATCGATCACCCTTTCTTTATCCATAATTGTAATTATATAAGCAAACTTGGTGTAATTTAAAAGAAAACACATTGCATCAATGATAATCTGCATGGATTGGTCGATTATGACGAAGCATGGGAAATGTCAATATGATTAAAATACAGATATATATTTAGTTTCGTTTTTTTTATACTTTCGATGGTCAGACCGTTTCATTGGCTAGTTCCTCACATCAATTAGAAGTTTAGAATGCCTGTTCTATAACAACTCTTCCAGATCTTACTGTTGTAGGGTGACCCATGTACTCACAGAAATACAGTCCACCGCTGATAGTTCGAGACTACCACTGAAGCGTGCACATTCGCCGTGCCGAGACCAACTTTCTGACAGTATGATACTATAAATAGCCATGGCACGTGCAATTCTCTACAAATCTATCAACTATTACAGTTATGTTTGGTAAAAAAAGTAGTCTTGATTATCCCGACCTGTCATTCAGACGTAGAATGGTCGATAGACTGGTTAAGCGAGACTAATTTCAAAACAAGGGCACGTAACCTATCTTTTAATTCAAAAGTGTCTGGATGTTATGGACGACTCTTGGAACCAGTTTTCAGTCTATTATTTATACATGATTAATGGTCATAGCTTATTAAGTACAACATGATCGTTTATTTAGTGACTATAATTGTGTGAAACTGATTTGAGGCTTGGCATATATATAAATATTGTGGCGTAATTGTCGAGATATATGGAGATATTTATTTATGGTGGGTCACCCTAACTGTTGTGAAGACAAGTAAAAACGAAATTTTGAGCTATAAAAAACAAATTGAAATAGGATCTGTGTTATAATCAGATTGGAGAAATGTAGAATGTGTTTGTAGTCTGGTGCAGTACAACCATTGAAAAATGAGGATATTGCACAGTGGGATCCTTGCTGTTTTCACTGAGATCCTATTAAAAGACATACTGTAAATAATGTTGCTTTCAAATGATAATAATGAATGATCAATCATTTTATAAACTTCCTTATCTTCATTATTTTTGTTGTATTTTTGTTTTTAACTTTAGACATACTTGGCTCCCTTGCATGAGGAAAATTTAATTGCTTTATTCATACATTTCAGGTACAAAAGAAAGCTGAAGTCTACTTAAACATGGAGTTGAATGAGTGGATACTTTATAAAAGAAAAGTAAACCATTCTTATTACACAGCCATATGGCATGTTAAGAAATATTTTGTGAGCTCTTGCCACAAGTTTTGTAATGGAATGAAAATACTAGGTTTGGTATAGCAGTACACATAAAATATACCAAGGCAGTGACTGTTCTAAAAAATGGACCTACATTCATTAATATGAATTTAAATACAATTCTTTCCTCTTAAATGGGGGAGGGGCCGTTTGATTAACGCACGCGCATTTTATCATGGGGTCTGTCACTGAGTCAGCTGGTGTGGTTTCGATTCCCGATTGTATGTGACAAGGAGTAGGGTTGCCTCTTTAACCTCGTGGGTTTTCTCTGGGTCCTCCGGTTTCCACCCAGTGCTAAAGACCCCTACGCGCAAGTGAATTATTGAAATGAAATTGATCCATGTGTTAGTCCTGAAATAACCTAGTTTGTGTCGAGTGGATGTTAAACCCCATTTCTCTCTCTCTCTCCTCTTAAATGTTGAAAAAATTAAAAATAATTAATTATTTGTTTCAGACTTTATATGGTATGGAATTAGAACTTATGTGTATTGATGCAGTAAGTAAATACATAAAAATATCATAAAGTTACACAAGGGAAAATAATGTACAAGGCTACTGCTATTCATTCAGTAATACCTATCACCAACTGATTTCTTGTTCTTGTTGTGTTCTTGTTCTTGTCCAACCTCGTGGTTTTTTATTGAAATGAAATTGAACCATATGTTAGTCCCAAAATGACATAGTTTGTGTCCAGTGGAGCGCTCTCTCTCTCTCTCTCTCTCTCTCTCTCTCTCTCTCTCTCCTTGCTGTATGGAGGCATTATTAGCAGTAATAAAATGTACCGGTGAACATTTGTAAATTATTATATTTTCAGTATGAAGAATTACGTCAGATTATCAGAAGTAAAAATTCAGGATTACACGAGTTTAGTGAAAAACTCAAATATTTACATTTACCTGTCAGCTCTTTTGCTCAGCTCGTAAGTATTGTTACTAAGAATTATAAACTACATATATTTTCATAGTATTTCCTTGCTATTAAACTAAGTCAAGTTCAAACTAATCCCAGGATTTGGGTGGCTGAGTGGTGAGTGTTAGTTGATCCAACACTTGTATGTGACAAATTGTAGGGTTTGTTTTCCTAATCCTTTGAGTTGTCTTAGGTTCCTCTGGTTTCCACCCACAGCTAAAGTACCAGTATGTGCATGCAAATTACCGAAATAAAATTGTGCCATATGTTAGTCATGTAATTACCTAGTTTGTGTTGAGTGGAGGTTCGCCTTCCTAACCTCATGTGTTTTCACCGGGTCCTCCACATTCTTCCCACTGCAAAAGATCCCTATGCCCAAGCGAATCATTGAAATATAATTGTACCCATTTCATTCATAGATAGTCCCATTTCATTCATAGTTCCATATGTTAGACTCTCTCTCTCTCCCTCTCTCTCTCTGTGTCTAGAACACCTTATACCACACCTCATTCCAGGATTTATATACAAGTTTATTCTACTTTTGTATGAAATCTATTTTGCCTTGATGATACTAGTACTGTACAATAGTGAATAGAACTATGCAAAATAGTTTGGTAATCTAATGACAATAAGACAACTGTTATTTTTTTTTATTATTATAGTTATCCCCTGTGGTTCCAGATTATCATGATTTACTATTTATAGCTGTAGACTACAATCAGCCAGACATAGCTAAGAGACTGGCGGATCAAGGCTCGGATCTCTCCCGCAGAGAATTGGTGAGAAATTGATCAAATTGTAATACTTAGACAAACTTTGGCATTAATTAATATGTAGGTTACTTAATTCATCTGATATTATTCCCAGCTGTCAGTACATTGTTAAATTTAATCAATCCTAAAGAGAATTTGTGAGGAATTAGTCAAATTGTAATATTTATACAATTATAACTTTGGCAGTAATTGATGTACAGGCTACTCAATTCATTATAATACAAGTTTATAGGTTTACTACGTCTTAATTTATTACATGTAATGTTTCAATACTATTACAGGTCTCTTTAAGTTGTGTTATTATGAATAGTATACCTCTGATTCTAAATGTCATTCATTCATTCCCCCGGTTGTACGTGACAAGGAGTAGGGTCGCCTGTCTAACCTCATGGGTTTTCTCCGGGTCCTCCGGTTTCCTCCCACTGCTAAAGACCCCTACACGCAAGCGAATTATTGAAATAAAATTGAACCATATGTTAGTCCCAAAATCACCATGTTTGTGTCAAGTGGATGTTAAACTCTCTCTCTCTCTCTCTCTCTCTCTCTCTCTCTCTCTCTCTCTCTCTCAATGTCATTCAAGGATATTACTTAAACATACATTATGCAAGAGCTAAATCTGCCTATTTCAGGTCTTTCTTTAGGCCTGAAATGTTTTCTAAATTATTAATTCAACTTTAATTAACTGATCCAGTCCATAATCAACTCTTGATGGCATGAGAGAAAGATATTAAATAGATTAGAACGGTTCAGTCATATTTTAATTTAATTTAAAAATGGAGGTGCGAGACTTAGCTTCGAACAACCAGTACGGTGGTTGCAATTATTGCACACGTCTTGTCAAACCTTCAAAGCCTAATATCTTCGCTGGCAATAGAGTAATTGGAATGAAATTTTCAAATTATTCCTTTTACATTATCTATTTTCAAACTATTATAGCAAGAATGGCTAGCTCTTTATCTAAATCTTACATAATGTATCTTTAATGACTCTTAAATTATTCAGAGTTGTCAGTACTTTGTTCAATTCAATCTATCCCAAAGAGATTAGTCATATGTATTCTTATATATAAACTTTGGCAGTAATTGAGATATAGCCAACTTTATTCATCCCAAATTATTCACAACTGTCAGTACTTTGTTAAATTTAAATTGGCAGCAGTATTCCATGGTGAATGTCAAATATATTTTTAAGAGACTATCAATAAGTGCTTAGGGTTCATAAAAAATATCAAAATGGGTAAAAGTCCATTTATAGATAATTGATGGCACACAGCTAGAATCTATCCATACAGAAAATTAATAAAATATCAAATTATTCATGCATAATACCACTAATAAGTGTCCTTTTCCTCATGGATTTCCTCTGAGTCCTCCGGTTTCTTCCAATCTCATGGATTTTTTCTGCGTCCTCGTTTCTTCCAACCCTAAGCCATAATCGCTGGCGAATTATTGAAATGAAATTGTACCATGTGATGTATAATTACCTAGTTTTAGTGGAGTGGATGGATCTATTACAAGTGAAGACCTGGCTGGACGATCCAGAGGAACACCGAGATCAAGCTACACTTCTTGGTTAATTAGTCAGCTCCATATTCATCAAGCAACCATGGGTCTCCAAAATGCCATAAAATATTTCCTGAAAATCTATTTGATAAGGAGGGAAAATCTTTGTGCAATCGTTTTTAACAGGGAATTTTTCTCCATCACATCATCACAACTACACAATGAAGACACCTCTGCAATTAGAGCTATGATGACCCCAGCCGTTTACCTAAACCTGCTATATAGCAAGATCCCAGACATAGGGGAGGGAATGGAGGTGGGTTGGTAGTAGAGCAGTTTGATGTAAGCACTTTAGTCAAGTGGCATAGTTTGGTTACCAAGGAGTAGGGCCGCCTGCCTGTTCTTCTGGGTTTTTTTTCTACTGGTCCTCTGGTTTCCTCCCAGAGGTAAAGACCCCTATATGTGCAAGTGAATTATTGAAATAAACTTTGTACCATATGTTAATACCAAATTAACGTAGTTTGTGTCAACTGTACATTAACCCCCCCCCCCTCTCTCTCTCTCTCTCTCTCTCTCTCTCCCCTCTCTCTCTCTCTCTCTCTTATTTATTATTGAATTGAAATTATACCATATGTTAGTACTAAAATGGCCCTATTTTTATACGCCCACATTTCCATGTGGACGTATATTGTCGTCGCCCCTGTCCGTCCGTCCGTCCACAATTGTTTGTGAACAGTCTACAGGTCACAATTTTTATCCGATTTCAACGAAACTTGAAATATAGGTTTATCACCCTAAGATCTCGGTTCCTTTCGATATTGGCATGTATCGGACCGTAACTTCATGGATTATGGCCCCTGATTGTACGAAAAATCCCGTTTTTAGCTTGTGAACACTGTAGAGGTCACAATTTTTATCCGATTTGGTTTAAACTTAAAATATATGCTTATAACCCAAAGATCTTAGGTTCCTTACGATATTCGCGCATATCGGAACGTCACTTCCTGAATTATAGCCCCTGATTGTACGAAAAATCGCGTTTTTAACTTGTGGACCCTTTAGAGGTCATAATTTTTATCCGATTTAAAAAAACCGTATTATTATATCACCGTTACACCCTAAGGACAACTGAGTTCGAATTTCATGAAAATCGGCCCAAAACTGACAGACAAAATGGCCGCCCTTCGTTCTCAAATAGCGTAAAAATATGGTATATCAAGGTTGTGGACCCTATAGAGGTCACAATTTTTATCCTATTTTGTTGAAACTTGAAATGTAAGTTTATAACACAAAGATCTCGGTTCCTTTCAATATTCGCGCACATCGGACCGTAACTTCATGAATTATGGCCCCTGATATTGTACGAAAAATGGCGTTTTTAGCTTGTGGACCCTACAGAGGTCATAATTTTTATCTGATTTAAAAAACCGTATTATTATATCACCGTTAAACCCTAAGGACGGCTGAGTTCGAATTTCGTGAAAATCGGCCCAAAACTGACAGACAAAATGGCCGCTGTTCGTTCTCAAATAGCGTAAAAATATGGTATATCAAGGTTGTGGACCCTATAAAGGTCACAATTTTTATCCGATTTTGTTGAAACTTGAAATGTACGTTTATAACCCAAAGATCTCGGTTCCTATCGATATTTGCGCATATCGAATTGTAATTTCCTGAATTATGGCCCTTGATTGTAGGAAAAATCACGTTCTTTTGAGCTTGTTCTCTATCCATCTCTCGAAAATGTGTTCGTATCCTGCCTGGCAGCCGCTGGCTGGTTGAGTAAATGCTAAACCCCATTCCTATCACAGAATTTTATTTAATTTCAGTACAAGATACGCAATGAGGATGGCGAACGGTGTGAGAAATGGCTGACTGTTGATGAAAGGGCCCGTTACTTAAAGCTTCTAGATTTAGCTGATGATCTTTTAACTAAGAAAAGTAAACAGTTTGAAGGGAGGGCAACATTACACTGTGACGATTATAATAAGCTTATAAGGACATTGACAAAGAGAAAGGAAACTTTGGATTTAAAACCATTACATATCTGTTAAAATATTAGTTTGACGGCTATCAGGAACACCTTAAAAGTACAACAGTTAAATTTGAAATTGAACAGCAGTCTTTTAACCTACAAGGATAGCAATGCTATGCTTAATCACCAAAAACAATCAAATGACCCACAGTGATAGCAATGCGTTGTAATCACCAACAATCAAATGACTCACAGTGATAACACGGTAATCACCAACAACAATCAAATGACCCACAGTGATAGCAATGCTGTGCCTGGTAATTACCGACAACAATCAAATGACCCACAGTGATAACAATACTATGCATGTTGATCACCAACAACCAAGTGACAGCAATGCTATTCTGTATTAATCATCAACAGCAGTCAAATGACCTACGGGGATAGCAATGCTATGCTAAGCAATGTTCTATTATGACCCATATGGTCTTTCAAAATTTAACATACCCCCCACTCGTGCCCTAATATAGAATTAATTGTATAATATAGATTAGAAGAGATCCAAGGGATTATTCCACTCAGCCTTTGAAGTCATTCATATTGAACTGTCCGAAACTCTTTCACAAATAATAAACGGTCAAAATGGTATTATGTATATATCGTCACACTATGGCTAGAAATGGTACCTTGTACCATAGAGATCAGTAAGTTAATTTATAGAGGAATTCCATCTGAACAATAATACCAATGTAGAAACAAATCTAAAGGATACCTTAACTTTCCGCCATTTTGCAATCTACGGTAATAGCCAGTTACAAGTCTTTTATTGTCAGATAACGTCATGATATCCGAAGCCCATCGCTTTCTCTATTGATGGTTATGTGTTTAATCCAGGAGATTATTTCAATTTGAGTTTTCTTATTTTTTTTTTTAATTTGATGTTAAATAATTATTCTGCGTACATGCGCAGGTATTTTAAGAATAACTAAAATAATGATTTTTGTTTGTGTTTTTTTTTTTTACCAATGCCATTTTTGTATGTGTTGGAAATAGATATCCTGTTATGTTTGTTTTATAGAATTTTGTTTTGTTAATAGAGATCTATAAAAGACATATATGATATTAATATTTTTGTATAATTGGTTGTGATGTACATGAATTTAAAAATAAGCACCACTGTGATATATAATTGTGTCAATCTTGGTATTTAATTGCTTTTATAATCACGGGACTAAAATGTTTTAAATTATCGCCTCACTAAATAAATAGTTTCGAGTTTCTATCAATAGAAAATGATTAACAGCTACTAGAACCAACAATAATAGGATGTTTTCATCAATCTGGAATCTTTAATAGATAAATACGTATACATATTTAAAGTCCCATTAGGTAAGATAAGATAAAGAGTTGGCAGTTCTCGCTATAATAATTAAAAAGTAGATAATGAAAAGAGAATAATGTTGAAAATTTCAGTCAAATTACTTCAGTCTGAGCCAAGCCATCCGCGATACTGTTGCAGTCTAGCCTCGATCGTCCTTACTACCGTTGTTACGATAATTAAGTCTCCATTATCCACTTTTACGGTAACCTCGATCATCTGTAACGTTTCCTTGAAGGGAAAACGACGTTTGGGGTATGGGGAGCTTGGTATCTCTGCCACCAGTGATCAATTCCTGGCTGATCACGAGCCACCGGTAAACGGAACTTCGGAAGGGTGTGTAAGGACCAGCTAAAAAGTGGTCAGTAACGGTGTTTTGCTAAAATTATAATAAGCTTCACCGTAGGAATAAAACAGACTCGTTCAGTTTTCAAACCTTTATGTAACAATAAAAACTTTCAAAATATATTTATATCAGTATTTACAGCTTAAATACGTTTATTTCTATTAATTACTGTCCTTTTTCAGGTGAACAGCGTTCACCGTACTCTGTAACTGTTTTTCCTTTTTCGGGCGAATAGCATTCACCGTACTTGTTCTTGAATCTGTCAGTGTCTTTCCTTTTTCGGGCGAATAGCATTCGCCGTACTTTTCTTCAATCCGCAACTTGTCTTTTTCGGGCAATCCTAGTTTGCCGTACTCGCTGAAAGAGAAAGAAGCTTTAAAGGAGCTTCTGTGCCATCGGAACGTAGCTTGTCAATATCAGCGAGTTCTTCGCTGACATTCGACCGCAGTCCCAGAGGCTAGCCTACCGTGCAAATTCCAGCCATCTAGACGTATCTATAAGAGACATTTATTCCTACTGGCGATTCACAAATATTGCATGAAGAAATTCAAATCATAAGAACATAAACACGACTAATAAACAGTATCATATTGATTATAAAAGTACAACGTATATATTGGTTACACTATATATGTCACAAAACACTAATCATTACATAATAATAATTATTTACTAATTATATAAATCACTTTAGGAGGTAGGAGTTATCCGTTGTTTAATTTAACAGTTATATAATTACCCTGGTTATAAAGGTACGAACAATTAAGGTATTTAAACAAATGATTACGAAAGAACATAACACTATAGATTTCTATGATAAGACATATAATACATGTTTAATATATATATAAATGACAATGTCCTACGCTAACAAATAATGAAATATGATAGTATCAGTAAATATAAAAAAAAACAAAGTAGTCGCGATCATCCTGGCTCTTGACTGCTTCACATCTACCACAAATCGTATTTAAATCTACTTAAACATACATTATGCAAGAGCTAAATCTGATTATTGCAAGTCTTAATTTAGGCTTCAGATGTTATAGAAATTATAAATTAGATCTTTATTTAAACAGCAAGCCCAAAATCAACTCTGTAGACCCACGGATGGCTCGGCTACAGCTTGGATTTATATAGGATTTCGCTGATTGATTAAATCAAAAATGGCGCCCCATGCGGAGATTATTAACCGTTACGTTGACGTCATCAGTTAAATCGAGGCTAAATGATAGAGTGTACGAAGCGAGGCCGCTGTTGAGCGATGCCGCATGTCAGTCAATTTAATTGAAAGTTCGATACGGCCTTGATATTATGTTCAGTTGTGGTTAAAATGAGAGTTTGGATGTTGGTATTATACGCTCTTTTGTCACTTGCGTTTACAGAAAAATTGATAAACATCGCAGCAAACATCACCCCAGTTGAATTGCAGCCCCATTGGATCACTGTAGTGTTTCCTATTTGTCTGCTTAGGGAGTCACGTAGTTACGTTACAGTACAAGAGTACACGCAGGCTAACAAGAAGTCGGCTATAATTATGCCTCATTGATTTGGTCCATTCCTTTCAAACTTTCGCTTCTTATCTATATAATAAAAGTCTTATTTTTAATTTGTAGTAAAAAAAAATGTGATACGAATTGAACTGCAACCCCGTCTCAAGCCATTGAAAACGTTACTTGATAATCGAGATTATGTAGGTGGAGTTAACGCCTGTCAATCAAACGATCGGCCAAGGTGAAGATATATTTGACTACCATTTCTAGTCAAATATTACAACGATGATAACTTTGTTCAGAATAAAGTAATTTGACTGAAATTTTCAATATATTCTTCTTTCGTCGTCTACTTTTGAACTGTTATAGCAAGAATGGCCAACTCTCTATAAAAATCTCCCATAATGTATCTTTAATATTGCAGCCATCCGATGGCATCGACTGTTGATTATGACATGGTAAGTTAATGTCTGATTAATAATTTATATAACATTTAGGGCATAAAGAAAGACCAGCAAGAGGCAGATTTAGCTCTTGAATAATGTCTGTTTAATTTATTTATATACTTTTATATTTTGTTATAATTAAATAAAAAATGTGAAAAACATTGTTTTGTTGGGTTATTTTCTTATATGTAACGGCACGTCATCGGATAGTAGGCTGTATTTCTTCATGTGTGTAAGGGTGTAGTGCTGTACACGTAGAATCTGTATTAATTAAGCAGCCACTCAAGGGAATTTTCATGACTGGCCGCTTAACGGGAGTGACCTCTTAAAAAAATCTAAGTATTTTTTAGTGCTGACATCAAGTAAATTTTATGCTTGGATGCATTGGGAGCAAACATCAATACTTGCATCGGTAAATTTAGCCGTCACTGAATCTTGCTTGGGACAAAAATTATTAGATTAAGCCGTCACTGTATCTTGCTTGGGAAAAAAATTATTAAATAAATATATCTTCTGTAAACGTATCATTTTGTACCAACATTGATACTACTGTCTACCATTGATATGCAGTCGATAATATTTATCCATTTTTGTGAAGAAAATCCATGAATTACGGTTCGCGCTTTTCTGCGGGGGTTCTGGTCGTTCTCACCTAGAAAATTTTGAAAGCAGGGAGCCTGAAAACGCTATCTGAGACCATGTCTGAGCATTCTGCAGAGATGAACGTACCGAGAATAAATTGTCGTTTTTGAGCGAGAATAATCAATAACTACACAAATAAGGGATGAGGAATATTCTTTATTTCATCATAATGAATAATTTCAGCCGACAGTATATACGAATACGGTAAAAAGTAGTTATGAGGGCTTAGAGTGCATGCGGACTGGTTATATTACAAAAGTTAAAAATATTTATTATTAAACTTTAAAAATATAAACAGTAAACCACAGATGATATGGACTGATTATACAAAGAAGTCCTCGCAATATAGAAATATAGGTAGGCTACTAAATTGCCGGTCACGGATGAAAATGTGATGAATAATTTCTCAAGTGGCCAGCTCTGAGCATAAGCTGCTGAGGTCATGAAGAGATCATTCTCAGATCTGGGTTACATCAAAGACCGGGCATTTTTTAACCAAGCTGAAATATCCTCAGCCTGAAAATAGGACTCAAGTTTTGGGAGACGCTGACAGAGTACGACGGGCGAAGGCATACGCCACGTGCGCTACAGGCGCGTATTTAGCGGGGGTCTTGGTGCCTCCCCCGGAAGATATTTTAAAATTAGGATGCCTCAAAATGCTATCTGAGACCATTTCTGGGCATTGTACATCGGCATGTTCGGAAATATAGGCTACATTTCCTTGGCTGAAAATAAGACTTTTGAAATTTTATCGATGCATTTTTCGGGGGGCGGGGGCGAGTCATATGAAAAAACCCCTAGAGAAAATCCAGGGGGGGGGGGACGCGTCCCCCACACCCCCACCCCGGGACCTGCGCGGCCTTGGGTGGGGGAGTAGATATTTAAACGGGATAAGCTGAGGTGTTAAGATGATCCTTGTAAGACATATAGAAATATGTCGCCGTACGTACGTACGTTGTCTACAATTTCTTGCGAGCAGTCTACAGACTACATTAATCATCTGATTGTTGGATATAATGTTGTTTACATCAGAGAGTTGAAAAATCCTATTCTTAAAACAAAAGTTGTCATCCGATATGTATTAAATGTATATGCATCATTTAGATTAGTGGAACGAAGAAGTCTATTGAATTCCAGCAATATTAGACTCTTATTTCATTTTTATACGCCCACATTGAAATGTGGTCGTATATTGTCGTCGCCCCCGTCCGCCCGTCCGGGTGGATGCTTTAGAGGCTACAAAAGTTGTCATCCGATATGTATTAAATGTATATGCATCATTTAGATTAGTGGAACGAAGAAGTCTATTGAATTCCAGCAATATTAGACTCTTATTTCATTTTTATACGCCCACATTGAAATGTGGTCGTATATTGTCGTCGCCCCCGTCCGCCCGTCCGGGTGGATGCTTTAGAGGCTACAGTTAATATTCGATTGACTTTAAATTTATACACAGTGTTTAAGGTCATGAGACGAAGAAGCCTATTGATTTTTAGCGATTTCCGATGATTACTGCCAGAGTTATGGCCCTTGATCACTTCAAAAAATCGTGTGGACGCTCTAGAGGTCAAAGTTAATACCTGATTGACTTTAAATTTATACACAGTGTTTAAGGTCATGAGACAAAGAAGCCTATTGATTTTCAGCGATTACCGATAATTACTGCCAGAGTTATGGCCCTTGATCACTTTGAAAAATCTTTTGGACACTCTAGAGGTCAAAGTTAATATCCGATTGACTTTAAATTTATAACCTACAAGGATAGCAATGCTATGCTTAATCACCAAAAACAATCAAATGACCCACAGTGATAGCAATGCTGTGCCTGGTAATCACCGACAACAATCAAATGACCCACAGTGATAACAATACTATGCATGTTGATCACCAACAACCAAGTGACAGCAATGCTATTCTGTATTAATCATCAACATCAGTCAAATGATCTACGGGGATAGCAATGCTATGCTAAGCAATGTTTTATTATGACCCATATGATCTTTCAAAATTTAACATACCCCCCACCCGTGCCCTAATATAGAATTAATTGTATAATATAGATTAGAAGAGATCCAAGGGATTATTCCACTCAGCCTTTGAAGTCATTCATATTGAACTGTCCGAAACTCTTTCACAATAATAAACGGTCAAAATGGTATTATGTATATATCGTCACACTATGGCTAGAAATGGTACCTTGTACCATAGAGATCAGTAAGTTAATTTATAGAGGAATTCCATCTGAACAATAATACCAATGTAGAAACAAATCTAAAGGATACCTGAACTTTCCGCCATTTTGCAATCTACGGTAATAGCCAGTTACAAGTCTTTTATTGCCAGATAACGTCATGATATCCGAAGCCCATCGCTTTCTCTATTGATCGTTATGTGTTTAATCCAGGAGATTATTTCAATTTGAGTTTTCTTATTATTTTTTTTAATTTGATGTTAAATAATTATTCTGCGTACATGCGCAGGTATTTTAAGAATAACTAAAATAATGATTTTTGTTTGTGTGTTTTGTTTTTTTTACCAATGCCATTTTTGTATGTGTTGGAAATAGATATCCTGTTATGTTCGTTTTATAGAATTTTGTTTTGTTAATAGAGACCTATAAAAGACATATATGATATTAATATTTTTGTATAATTGGTTGTGATGTACATGAATTTAAAAATAAGCACCACTGTGATATATAATTGTGTCAATCTTGGTATTTAATTGCTTTTATAATCACGGGACTGAAATGTTTTAAATTATCGCCTCACTAAATAAATAGTTTCGAGTTTCTATCAATAGAAAATGATTAACTGCTTCTAGAATCAACAATAATAGGATGTTTTCATCAATCTGGAATCTTTAATAGATAAATACGTATGTCGCTTTAACTGGGACACATATTTAAAGTCCCATTATGTAAGATAAGATAAAGAGTTGGCAGTTCTCGCTATAATAATTGAAAAGTAGATAATGAAAAGAGAATAATGTTGAAAATTTCAGTCAAATTACTTCAGTCTGAGCCAAGCCATCCGCGATACAGTTGCAGTCTAGCCTCGATCGTCCTTACTACCGTTGTTACGATAATAAAAAAAAGTCTTGATTATCCACTTTTACGGTAACCGCATCAACCACAAATCGTATTTAAATCTACTTAATATTGCAGCCATCCGATGGCATGGACTGTTGATTATGACATGGTAAGTTAATGTCTGATTAATAATTTATATAACAATTAAGGCAAAAAGAAAGACCAGCAAGAGGCAGATTTAGCTCTTGAATAATGTCTGTTTAATTTATTTATATACTTTTATATTTTGTTATAATTAAATAAAAAATGTGAATAACATTGTTTTGTTGGGTTATTTTCTTATATGTAACGGCACGTCATCGGATAGTAGGCTGTATTTCTTCATGTGTGTAAGGGTGTAGTGCTGTACGGGAGTGACCTCTTAATAAAATCTAAGTGTTTTTTAGTGCTGACATCAAGTAAATTTTATGCTTGGATGCATTGGGAGCAAACATCAATACTTGCATCGGTAAATTTAGCCGTCACTGAATCTTGCTTGGGACAAACATTATTAGATTTAGCCGTCACTGTATCTTGCTTGGGACACAAATTATTAAATAAATATATCTTCTGTAAACGTGTCATTTTGTACCAACATTGATACTACTGTCTACCATTGATATGCAGTCGATAATATTTATCCATTTTTGTGAAGAAAATCCATGAATTACGGCTCGCTCCGCAAGCGCGAACCGTTCTGCGGGGGTTCTGGTCGTTCTCCCCTAGAAAATTTTGAAAGCAGGGAGCCTGAAAACGCTATCTGAGACCATTTCTGAGCATTCTGCAGAGATGAACGTACCGAGAATAAATTGTCGTTTTTGAGCGAGAATAATCAATAACTACACAAATAAGGGATGAGGAATATTCTTTATTTCATCATAATGAATAATTTCAGCCGACAGTATAAACGAATACGGTAAAAAGGGCTTAGAGTGCATGCGGACTGGTTATATTACAAAAGTTAAAAATATTTATTATTAAACTTTAAAAATATAAACAGTAAACCACAGATGATATGGACTGATTATACAAAGAAGTCCTCGCAATATAGGGATATTGGTAGGCTACTAAATTGCCGGTCACGGATGAAAATGTGATGAATAATTTCTCAAGTGGCCAGCTCTGAGCATAAGCTGCTGAGGTCATGAAGAGATCATTCTCAGATCTGGGTTACATCAAAGACCGGGCATTTTTTAACCAAGCTGAAATATCCTCAGCCTGAAAATAGGACTCAAGTTTTGGGAGACGCTACAGGCGCGCATATAGCGGGGGTCTTGGTGCCTCCCCCGGAAGATTTTTTAAAATTAGGATACCTCAGAATGCTATCTGAGACCATTTCTGGGCATTGTACATCGGCATGTTCGGAAATATAGGCTACATTTCCTTGGCTGAAAATAAGACTTTTGAAATTTTATCGATGCATTTTTCGGGGGGGGGGGGGAG